ACTTCATCTGCCCAACATGTTTCTGTTTTCCACCATGTAAGTGCTTGTCTCCAGCAGCTAGCTTATGTTTAGGCCTAGTCTCAATACTTACCTAACAACTGTTTCAGGAAAGAACTTCAGCTCCTGGGCCTCGCTTGCCAACTGTCCGTCGCCTAATGCAATGATTCTCAACCAAAGAAGTATTTCTTCACATTCCTGAGGGGTCATCTCCGTTTCTAGCTTACATGCATGTCCTCTCCTTAAGTTACTGTACACCCTAACCATCCTACATACTTCAGCGATACACTTGAGTATTTTCGGCTCTTATGTCAAGATCATGTTCACTCTATTTCTACTTTCTTCCAATGTCGTTAGATTCAGCTTCCTCGGTCTAACCCATAACCAGTGTTGAAGCAAAACCTTTGTTTATCAATTCAGTGTTTATGACAGTTAGTACAACATATCACTGTAACTCTTTGTAATCACATACTCAGTCACACCATAGACGACCATACAGTCTATTGTAAGTCCTCAGTATACCTTCGTTAACAGCAGGGCCCTGAACAGTCTATCTGAATTGGCTGGAATGAGAGAATTCGCCGCGCTCCAGTCACTGGCCGACCACACAACATGAACTCCGATCATTGGAAAGATATCCTAATGTAGGCTATCTCCCTGGAAATCCTACACCTACAGTCACGCTCTGGCCCTGAAACCCTTCAGAACAATTTAGGCCTAGTCAAGGTTTGGCCTATGGTGAATAAAATGAACCAACCGACGCCAAATCAAATTACATATACCTGCTTGATGGGGGTTCTGGGAGTTCTACTCCACAAGCCCGGCCTGAGGCCAGGCTCGACTTGTGAGAGTTTGATACATGCTAACAAATGAAAACACTAGTAAGTGATGTGGTGGAGGCAGACCATACACAGTTTCATATGTAGATATGATAGAGGCCAAAAGGTTCGGGACCCTGTAGACCAGTTAAGAGTCGAGAGGTGGAACCAAGCACAATTCGGTAAGTACACTACGCCCAGTATACCCCTAACACAAACCAGGTGCGCGTTGCATAAGTGAGCACCCAGACAAGACCGTTCCTGCCTCTTAAGGATTCTAAAACAGGTTGTAGGTAATTTTGGGGTCACCGAGATGACCCTCCCCTTGAGTATACCCTTCTACCATCTCCACCATATCTACTTAGGCTACCCCTGAGAAAATAAGGAACCCTGCGTAAATAAATGTAACTAGGCTAGGCTAACTAAATGTAAATGTAACTAGGCTAGGCTAACTAAATGTAAATGTAACTAGGCTAGGCTAACTAATTGTAAATGTAACTAGGCTAGTCCACATTTGGACGACCAATGGAGGATAAATACCTCAATATACCTCACGATCCACACAACTGTATGAAATATCCTAATACTTAAAGTAAACTTTTCCTGTGCATTTTGTCTCATTAGCCTATTCCAGGCTCGTATGAGTCTTGTGATTAATCTCTATACGCGACACAGTGGTTGCAAGGACTGGGCTGAGTAACAGGTTGGGCTACTGTTACCTGTGGCAGGTGGCTACAAGTGACGGATCTCCCAATCCTGAGCACCAGCTCCAGGTGCAAACTCTGTGAGTAGGAACTGGGTCATGATCTCATGCACTACATTATTGAATATCCAGTCATTAGACCCTTCAGACCTGCCATCATGATGTACCTGGACTTTTGCATTCATATTATTAATTCCCGTATTCTTGGGGATATCCTCATAATGCACCAAAATTTGCCAGTGCAGACTACTGATCACATACCCTCTATGACTAACCATCCTATGTGATGGGGATCTTTTAGCATCAGGTAGATACATCTCTTGATATACTCTGTATTCCCCTTCATATAGTCTGGGTTAGCTGCACGAATGCACTTGGGTAAACTATTTTGTTTATCTACGTTTCTGACGTTATTTCAACGTCAAGATCCTTCTTTTTTTTATTTATGTAACCGCCAAATATGGAGGAGGGACATTATCGCAAGGTAACCGCCTCCTTCTTAACTGCCTATGCTGTAATGCTGCTTGGCGTGTGTGTGCTGGAACTGTGTGGGGTGTATATTCTGGTGCTCTTGAGTGGTGAGGGTGTGTACCGGTAGCCTATGGTGTGGTGAGGGTGTGTACCGGTAGCCTATGGTGTGGTGAGGATGTGTACCGGTAGCCTATGGTGAGGTGAGGGTGTGTACCGGTAGCCTATGGTGAGGTGAGGGTGTGTACCGGTAGCCTATGGTGTGGTGAGGGTGTGTACCGGTAGCCTATGGTGTGGTGAGGGTGTGTACCGGTAGCCTATGGTGTGGTGAGGATGTGTACCGGTAGCCTATGGTATGGTGTGGGGTGTGTACGGGTAGCTTATGGTAGGAGAGTGCCGGTAGCCTACTTGTGTGGTGTGGGGATGTATTGGTAGAGGTGTAAGTGTGGCCATGTATGCTAAACCTATGATTGTGTGGAGTGTGTTAGTACTGGTGGTAGGGGTGGTCATTTCCGTACTGGTGGTACGGAAATGTTCTGGTAGTGACAGAAATGCGCCTTCTGGTTGTGGTGGAAACGCGCCTCCGTCACGGATATAAAAAACCCAGGTGTATGTCTCTCCTCTATAACGTTGTTGTTGTTGTTATAGATTCAGCTACTCGGAACAAGCTCCAAGTAGCATGGGCTATGGCGAGCCCGTAACTTACCTGGCACAGGAGCGGGGCAAGTAGAACGGGCAATGGTGAGCCTGTAGTGGACTTACCTGGCACAGGAGCGGTGCGACCTCTATAACTGGTAGCCCATCCTTATACCTGGCATCCCATCCCTCGCAACTGGTAGCCCTGCCATATACCTGGCAACCCCTCCCCCACCACACTTCCGGTAACGTTGACAATGACACCACTTATATCTGTCGCGGGCTGCAGTGCAGGTATACAATCATACAATTCGCTAACAAACGCATAATGTCACGAATTGTTGATATAATTATCTCAGTTTAGTATTCATTATTATATCTACACAGGCTGGCGATATTTGCTGGAAAGGAGAGAGCCTAACACAAAATACTTTTACTGATATATCACAATACAATTTATATGCCTAAAAATTAAAATATGCCTTAATGACAGCTTATCCTACGGGTAAGGTTTATGACAGCTTACAATTAATACAATCGGTATACTTGATTATATAGATCTAGTCCTTCAGGATCTTACTGAATCACTGATTGCCGAAAATGTCAAATGAAAATTTCGAAAGTGCGTAGCCTATCCAAAGGGCTATTCTCGGATAAGCAATAGGCTTGAGAATACGAAGGACTTGGTACAAAGACCCGGCCCATTGCTCCTAGGCTGACGTGTAATCTCGGAAAATCATAACTACTGTGCAAAATAGGTTTAAATTCTAAATAAACATTTTTTAGGTCTTATATTTGAGGTATAAAGTTCATTAACAGACATTTTTGGGACATTTTTTAATTTATAAAGACTAAGGTCGTAGGCTATCCTATAAGGCCTTATTTAATGCCCGACTGGTATATTTAGCGTGTCCAATATCATGGTGAACTAGAACTAAGTCAAAACGTTTGCCTAAGTTGGATTGGCTATTACAATCAAAACTTTGAATATTAATAATAAGTTATTTCTCCACTGCCATCAAACTTCTATTGAAAATATATTCCAATTGTACGTGAAAAAATTTATGTTTATTAATTAGGATAACTTAAATGTTTTTCCTAGTCCTGTGCACAACTGTCACCAGCCAAGTGTTGCTCACTGATGCATGTAAGTGGAATGGTGCAATGTCAACCCGGGCATCTGGGTGCAGTCCATACCCGAGGCTAAAACAGACTCGCAACTGCAGGGTCGAAGGTAGCCTCTTGTCAGTATGCTTGTGTAGCCTCTTGCATAATGTGTCGGGTGGCAACAGCTTCTGTCGTCTGTGAGACAGTCTTGCACAAGAGGTGTCTGGTGGCAACAGCCTCCTTCATCTGTGAGGCAGTCTTGCACAAGAGGTGTCAGGTGGCAACAGCCTCCTTCATCTGTGAGGCAGTCTTGCACAAGAGGTGTCAGGTGGCAACAGCCTCCTTCATCTGTGAGGCAGTCTTGCACAAGAGGTGTCAGGTGGCAACAGCCTCCGTCATCTGTGAGGCAGTCTTGCACAAGAGGTGTCTGGTGGCAACAGCCTCCGTCATCTGTGAGGCAGTCTTGCACAAGAGGTGTCAGGTGGCAACAGCCTCCGTCATCTGTGAGGCAGTCTTGCACAAGAGGTGTCTGGTGGCAACAGCCTCCGTCATCTGTGAGGCAGTCTTGCACAAGAGGTGTCTGGTGGCAACAGGCTGTCGTCTGTGAGGCAGTCTTGCACAAGAGGTGTCTGGTGGCAGCAGCCTCCGTCATCTGCATGAGAGCAGGGCCGCCCGCCGGGCCTCATCTCCAGGACAGATTGATGCTACCTTCTCAAGAGACCACACTTAAAAGAATTCACTCAACAGATTCACTCTCACGAGAAATCTTGGGAAGCGATGAACCCTGAGCCAGTAGTGTGCTGCCGCTCCCTAGTGCTTCCCACTGCCTCAAGGCGTGAACAATTTATTTTAGTTGAGTGCCACTTTACCAGCGGTTAAACTAAGCATAGCGGCACCACGGGGCGCCCTCACCAGTAATAGTTAACAATGGCACACAAACCCCTTTAAATTTAATAGAAGTGGTAAATACAGAGACGAGCTCCTAGACTGGACAAGACCCTAAGTAAAGTTTGCATCGCGTGGAGTTATGCAATAAACTAAACGTGAAGTACGGTGCATTTTTTTTTTGTCTGTGAACATCAGCGAGGATTTGATGCTACCAGCCAGGTGAAGGGTGAGGCGAGCGTGCTTAACACGGGTCTATCATTATAAACAGGTTCTGTGATGAAGGCAGCAATGGAAGAGTGTCGTCACTGAAGGAGGCTCACACGTCTTAGGCTCACACTACACACTGATGCTGAAGACACACACACACGCTTCCTGCGACCTACCTTATGTTATCAGTCGCCTTCAGTTGACAGCATCGAGGTAATCCATGGCCATAAACGTGCTTTCTTAAATCCAGAGGCTGAGAATGGCAGCTTACCGACGGCACCGCCTGGTTGCCCCCTTCACACTCTGGGCATCACTAGATTTCAAAACATACTCTTGATCCCGTACCATAACACTAGCCCGTTACTCACTAATGTCACTCAACTCACGGATTTATCATCAACCGGGGGCCCACTCGTGACATTACACTTTATATTATATAATCACCATGAAGAGTCATGGTGACATAGTGTACTTATAAAGTCGAGAAACATCCCCCGAGCAGCGACACTCTGCACGTCGAGACGTTAGATCTCGCACTGACACTCGTCGCTGCGTCCTCCCGGAGGTGGTCGCTGCCGACGCCAGACGTACGATCCGGTACTAAACAACTCATAACATTCTAAAACATTGTCTCGTGTCTTAATTTTCACTAGACAGTAGCTATATAGAGTATGATATCAGCAGTAGCTAAGTGAGACCTGTACTTTATGTTAATGGTAGATCGTTATGTAACCTGGCGGGGGTTAAAGGCGCCAGCATCACCACGTGGAATAGCATCCTTTCCCTGGCCTCTGGGAGATCAGCTGGTGTGTTGATCCTTCCCACACACACCTGTACCTCTGGGAGGTTTGCTGGTGTGTTAACCCTTCCACACCACCACACACCTGTACCTCTGAGAGGTTAGATTGTATGTTAACCCTTCCACACCACCACACATCTGTACCTGACTGACACAGAACAATTTTTGAAGCTAATATGGAGGTCAAGTTGCATTCATAACTACTAGTTTTGCTTGAGCTTTAATAATTGTCATTCGTAGAACATCAGTATTTTGTCTGTAAGTGTCACTATTCAGGCCCCGACGTCTCTCTTCACTTGTACCTCCGTAGACAACCCAACCTCCTCACCTGCACGGGTGGAACACGAACAAGGGGACACAGGTGGAAACTTAGTGCCCAGATGAGCCACAGAGACATTAGAAAGAATTTTTTCAGTGTCAGAGTAGTTAATAAATGGAATGCTTTAGGCAGTGATGTGGTGGAGGCTGACTCCATACACAGTTTCAAATGTAGATATGATAGAGCCCAGTAGGCTCAGGAACCTCTTCACCAGTTGATTAACAGTTGAGAGGCGGGACCAAAGAGCCAAAGCTCAACCCCCGCAAGCACAATTATGTAAGTACCTAACCACAAACGTACCAACCCATCTAACCTGCACGAGTCCGATGCGTAGAAAACGTAGATATTTGTGACTCGTTACTTTTCGAACCAGGTTGCATTGGTAACGTTGGTTACCATTTCGTAAAAAAACGATACCTATTAATTGACAGGACGGGTTGAGTATATGAACAACTAGAAATATAACTTTTTTTTTCTGTCTCTATATTTTGAATTGACTGATTTATAATAATTATTATTTATATTACCAATAATAGAGACCTACAAGGAATATTATCGTTAATATATAATTTAATCAACTTCATGATTCCCACACGTCGGGCGCCAGCAAGAATGACCAAGTTTGCCACATAATGGCACCGAGGCCTTGAGTCGTTTTCTCTTATGAAGGAAAGTAGAGCGTCACGCCCCATAATACCTGAACTTGCCCTTCACTTCTCTATAACCCAAAGTTCTATTTTCTGAACGTACCTTGCTGTGTCAGATAACAATTTGGTGTGCCACTGAAACTGCTTGACTCCGCGCTCTACTGTTACCTGCTTTGTTATTTTATAATGTGTACATGCAGTATATTGTATATTAATTACATATACAATGTGTACATCCAGTCATTCAAAAGATAATAGTACTAACAGCAACTATTGACGGCGTGTGCAACAATGGTGTGTCTCCCCCCCCTCCCCGTCCAAAACAAAAGAAAATTATTTTGTAGTATTAATTTTGTGGTGTACGAGAAAGTACGTACCTGTGTGTAAGTATACATAACGTGTGTATATGCATACAACATGTACATAAATAGTGTTTGTATACTGTAAGGGAAGGTAACGTACCTCACTCCCAGCTAACATAAACAATTTTCCATTAGAGAGATAAGGTATAAGGAGCAAGGAAGGTTTGGTACAAGCAGTCCTTGTCCTCGAGTGTCTCATGTTTGGGAGTGAAGGAGTGTAGTGGGAAGGAGCTCGAAGCCTAGAAGGCATGTACGAGATCTTACTCAGACCCAGAGGATGTTATTTGACGTGGACTTTACAATTCATCTCTACATATATGTTCTGTCACTAGCTACCATAGTAATTAAATACAAATAATGCATAACAATTGTAAACAAGGAAACATAACATCGAATGGTGTCAGATTTAAGACCATTTGTGCCCTCTGCATTCTTGTTTCGATATATCTCACAGGATGAGTACGGGGTCACTCACAGGATGAGTATGGAGTGCTGGGGGCAGCTAGGGAACCTGGGAACTATTGAAAGAGAAATATACCTTAGCATGCCATTTGGCTTTTAACCAGCTGATTGTCTTCGTGTCTCTCAGATGCGGAGACATCAGCTAGCAGTCTCCACATCTGGGAGACAGGCGGGTTGCGTGCTTTTGTTAACTATTCTTTCTGTAGGTGTCAGTGGTTAACATAAACATTTAAACTGATTTATATTTATATATACTGCGGAATACTGTGTGAATAATTGCCAACTCTAAGATTCTTTGCTGTATAATATATTACTTTAAAATAGATTGTTTAAGGGATACTGGTTGCCTCAATGATTGTTGTTTTCTGCTTCAAATGGAGCTAGTGTTATGTTAAGTCAAGTGGTGTCTATTGCTGGACGTTCCTCTCTCCTAGAGCTATTACTTGGGAAGAACTAGGTGAGTACACTTAATTATTCCTTGTTAACAATTTTTGTGTTCTGCACCTGTTCCCTCAGTACACCTGCTGTTAACCTTAACAAGTGTTTCATGAACACATGGTATATGGGATATGTCTTAGTGAAATTTTGTCTTCAGTGTAAATCTGAGGTGGGGACACTGGGCCCGTCCTCTGGGTGGTTACCTTACCTTGAGGTGATTTCGGGGCTTAGCGACCACGCGGCCCGGTCGTCGACCAGGCCTTTGTGACAGGAATAACTGGCAAATAACAAACTGTACCATTATAAAGTAAGAGCTCAGGTCTGAAGATTGGGGTTTATTTTAGTTTGTATATTGTGAACTGCATACACATGCTGTGAGTGGTGGTGGAACTCATACCCATGCTAGGTATGGTAGTGTACCCCCATACCCATGCTAGGTATGGTAGTGTACCCCATACCCATGCTAGGTATGGTAGTGTACCCCCATACCCATGCTAGGTATGGTAGTGTACCCCCATACCCATGCTAGGTATGGTAGTGTACCCCATACCCATGCTAAGTATGGTAGTGTACCCCATACCCATGCTAGGTATGGTAGTGTACCCCCATATCCATGCTAGGTATGGTAGTGTACCCCCATACCCATGCTAGGTATGGGATACACTGTGAATCAGTAGCCTGGCGACACCCAGGCTACTGATTTACACTGATGGTAGTGTGTGTGGCCAGGCTACACCCACACGGTGATGGTAGAGAGTGTGTCCAGGCCACCAATACACTCATCCTGCACAATCCAGGTGTTTAGTGCGGCTCTGGACGCTGACCCCGACCTTTACCCGCCTGCAGGCAAAACACGACAAACTGAGAGTGGTGACTCATGGCAACCCGATAACTGAGACTAAAGGCGACAGGTCTACGTGTTTAATGGAAGAGAGAGAGAGAGAGAGAGAGAGAGAGAGAGAGAGAGAGAGAGAGAGAGAGAGAGAGGGAGAGAGAGCGTGAGAGAGAGAGAGGGAGGGAGAGAGAGCGTGAGAGAGAGAGAGAGAGGGAGAGAGAGAGAGAGAGAGAGAGAGAGAGAGAGAGAGAGAGAGAGAGAGAGAGAGAGAGGGAGAGAGAGCGTGAGAGCGTGTATTTGTGAACTGTACTGTGCTTTTGAAGTACAGACAAAAAATGCGGGGCACTCGCACGCACACATTATATATATATATATATATATATATATATATATATATATATATATATATATATATATATATATATATATATATATATATATATATATATATATTGTTCACAATATGCCTTCAGCCGAACAAGTATATGTGGGTGGGGACGAGGACAGGTTGACTAGTTTAGCAGTTACCAGGGAGGATGTAATTAAACAAATTAGTTTAATTACAAAGTGAACAAGTGAACAAAGTGAAAGTGAACAAAACTTTCAACACAGGATAGAACACGAAACAATGGGTATTGAAGGTAAGAATGGAAGTAATTGTTTCGTGTTCTATCCTGTGTTGAAAGTTTTGTTCACCTTATCCAAAACTGTTGTAACATGTCACCTCACCCAAAGTGCGGGTATAAAATGAAAAATGAAAGCTGTTTAAATCATAGCATAAGTAAGAACTCTGTTTAGTGTTTGCAGGTAATAGTTGTGTGTGTGTAAACTAAAAGTCTTTGAAAATGTAATAAGTTATTACGAAACGCGTTCAAGTGTCGCGTCAGACTAGAAATAAAAATGAATTTTGGAGAATTGATTTTTCAGTTACCATCAACAGTGAAAAGAAACATAATAAAGATCGAGAAAATTCGTGTTAGAATTATTAATCTTACTTTTTCGGTCATATTTAATAATATATGTCTACAGGAAAGACTGCTACCAAAATATACTAATATATATATATATATATATATATATATATATATATATATATATATATATATATATATATATATATATATATATATATATATATATATATATATAATATATATATATATATATATACATATATGTGGTAGTGTTCGTAATAATAAATATACATTAATTATTACGTAAAGCTTAGCTTTCAGACTTCATGTTACGTACTGATTAACTGTTGGTATTCCTTCGTAACCATGGCAACAGATGTAAACAACTTTGGGGAAGGCGTGAGACTGTGTGTGTGCAGGAGTCCACGACCAGGCCAGGACTTGTACGCCCCAGAGAGCTACTGGGTTACAACATACACATCAAATACACCCAATACAACAATATACTACAAACCTGTATGTTAGAGAAGTGGCCAGAGAACTGAAATTTGGGTTTTGTACGTACCAACATTCTGAAAACGGAGGTTGAGGCTTGCGAATGTCTCAATACAACATGATTAACATGAGAATGTACGGTGAGGTGTGAGGTGAGGTGTGAGGAGCACCTACAAGATGCCGTCCATAGCGGAGCAGAAAGCCAAGGTCAACAGCCAGATTCAAGACCTACGGAAAAAGATCCAACTTTCAGGTCAGTCCGACTTCTTGTCTAATACAGACTTAAACACCTCATGAAAGAACTCATAAACAAGTGATATCTTTTGGTATGAAGGGAATTTCCCATCCAGTTATCGTGAGGCTTATTTACAGGCATTTTGCATGTCACTGCTCACTCGAAATTTGCCAGAAATATGAACTTGAGAGTTAGGAAATACAACTTAATGAGTAATGAGTATAATGCAGCAGGTCTACAGGATAGAATAAATTCCCCCGACAGCAGAAAATCACTGTTATATGACTTGTGCAAATAGTGAATGTGATCCGACCTAACCTCTCAATCTCCTGATAATGTAAAATTCAAAGGCTATGTAAATTTCATTAAATTCACGTTATATTTAATATAATTCGTTGTACCTTACTTCATAAATATACAGCCATTTATAATTAAAGTTATACATTGACTAGCGGATAATTAAATATTAAACATCGATCTTTGATGACAAAATCCCAGCAGTTCATTGCTACAGTGTTGTGTGTTTATAATTTATGAATTTGGATTACATGTATACACTGTATAATTCTTCTGATCATAAGTCATTTACTAGGCTGTCATGCCTAGTTCATATACGGGGCAACATTTGCTTGACTGGCATGGCTAGTTTTCAAGACAAAACATTTGCTAGGCTGCAATGCCTAGTTTATATAGCACAGGTGTTCCAAGTCACTTGTCTCTTCCATCACCTTGCCAGGTATGTAAGTAGCACTATGCTGTATCTGTCTTCCTGCAAGTGTTCTTTCTGATAATCTATTTATCCTCCAGTGTTGCTTGATTCAACAGCCTCTTTCTCAGTTCGATCAACTCTCCATCTTCTGTTAAGACCTCTTGAAATCGGCTGTTCAGTTCCTTATCTTCTTGTCCTCTGCATTTTCCTTCTCGGTTTGTGGCGTTCGCACCAATTGATGGGACATGGGTGAACTTCACTATTCTATCATCCTTACAGTATGATGCATCATTGAATTATTTTGAGGGTATTTATGTTATTTCCCTGATTAATATACAATTATTTTACCACAGATGGGGATTAAAAATCATGGGGCGGGCGAGCTTGGCTACCCTGGGTGGGTCATAACCCCCGTGCCCAGGTTACTAAAAACTTGCTATATTGACCAGATTTAAGTGTGCTGCAAATGGCATTTACTTTTGCAAAATTACAATTGCAAGTTGTAAATTGTATATCTCTGAGCCTCTTAAGTTGGACACATTTACCTACTTCAGTGACACCTATTGTTGATCTGCTTGTGCAGTGTTGTAGGGTGAACCTGCCCGTATTGGTCTACAGTGCTATCACACATTATGGAAAAAATGGCCAGGTGTTGGCGGCTCTGCCTCCCGCCAGGTGTGAGTGACTCTGCCCCCCGCCAGGTGTGGGCGGCCCTCGCGTCACATATGAGGCAGTGTTGGGCTACAGCTGAGACTCCCGGGACTTCCCGACGGCCCAGTGGAGGGAATCATCAACACTAACGACGGAGCTTCCCCTCCCTGGCGGGGTGACCTTGCTGTCTTCCACCCCTGAATATTACTCCCCATTCATGCCACAACAGTAATTTAATGCTATTTAGGGAAAATATAAATTTATCCTCAAAATAATGTATTGACAGGTTATACTGTACGGGTGAGAGAACAGTGAACTCGTATATCATGTACGGCTTCAGTGTGTACGCCACCTGACCGATACGTCCCGGGTGATATGTAAAGCACACACACATGGTGGTGGGGCGCATGGCTCTGGGGTGATGTGATGCTGCTAGCTTGGTCCATGACATGGCCCTGGTGGCTTGGTGTGAAACACTCGTCCGTGAGATAACTATGCGGGCTTGGTCCAACACAATGAGGCGGATGTGGCAGGTGGGAGACGACGCTTCAGGATGTTCCTGTGTTTCCACCACCAAGACTTATACTGGTGTCCCTCAGGCATCATGCATAAGTCCCTTGCACCTGTCGTCCAGCGTCTCCTTGGTGTTGTACTCAACCTCCACTATGGGCACTATATTCTATATTTATAAACGTATACGTATTTCCTATAGCTTTATTGTTTAAAGGTCAACGTCTTGCACATTGTCTTATAATAGGCAATCTATTCATCTGCTTATTTAGCCATATCTTTATAGTTAGTGCTAGACTATTCAACTCAACGGACATTTCCATTTGCTATTAATTACCACTGTAATGATGACGATGCTTTATTGTTCACATCCACACATGTGGACAAATGAAAGTGACGATGTTTCGTCCCGTCGTGGACTTTCATCAAGTCCATTCCATTCAACGGTCGACCCCAAAGATGCATTCATCACACTTTACACAATTCCTTAGTATCTGGGGTGTAGCGTGTCAGTGTACACGGTGGAGCATGAGTGTACGCACGGTGTAGCGTGTCATTAAAGCGTGTGACCCAACAGAGGGGGAGAGCAAGGCGTGCTACGAGGAGAGTGAGGGGGAGAAGCGGACCAACAAGGCGGCGACCACGGCGCTCAGAGCGGAGATCAAGCTCCTCCACCTCAAGATCGAGGAGGCCAACCAGGTACCGGACACCCGTCAGTCACTAACACAAGCATCACACTTCCCGATGAAACACATTAAAACACTCGTTTAACACAATCTTTTAATATGTATATTTAAAATGTTGTTACAAGCATATTATTGGAAACGCCGATGCATTAAGTTTGTAGTGTAAAATGCTTTTATTTAAAGAGATATCATGACAAATATTACCCTAAATTCTTGCGAATTAAAGCGTAATTGAAAGTAAAATAAGTAGAATTAAATACTGCAAAGCTCGGTAAATCCTTATGATTGGCTACCTGTCGCGTGGACAAATATTGTTATGGTTGAAAAACCACGAAACTACTTGCTTCACGATTGAACATATATTTCCTGTTATAATTACCGGTGAAACTGACTTGTGTGATGCAGGGAAGTGAGAGAAGCGTAGAGAAGGTCCTGCAGCAGCAGCGCCGGCGAGCTGTCAGCGCCCCCGTCAGGGTCAAGAAGGCAGACCGTACCATCAAGACCTCAGAGTACAAGCTCCATGACTTCGTCAAGAGACTCGATTTCCTGCAGCACACCACCAAGCAGGTCTGGTAGACTCAGTGCAAGTTATAAACGATAACTGTACTTATAGACACCTAAGGCTTCACTAATAAACACATAGAGAGACACCTGAGGCTTCCAGCTTCACTTCGGGAATACGTGCGAGACTCTTTGACGGGTGTTTGTGTTCCCACAGCGGGAGGCTCGGCTGGAGACGCTGAAGAAGCAGCTGGGGGAAGCTGCGTCACCGAGCGCCCAGGACGAGGAGCGGACTATCCAGCAGCTGCAGCAGGTTACAGCCGCCCCTCTCATTATGTATTCATAGTAATTATTGTCATAATAATGGCAATAATAATCATAAATAAATATAAACAATAATCTATGAGAGCTTGGTTCTGTTCAGTGTTATTGTAACTAATAACTTCCTCGTGATATTAATAGGAAAAATTAATAATAGTAAGAATAATTCATAATAGTTAATTATTGTTTCTTCCCTTGAAATTATAGTTTCTTCCATTGAAATTAATATTTCTTTCATTGAAATTATTTTACATTTAAATTATAGTTTCCTTCCCCTGAAATACCCCATTTCTTTACCAACCCATCCTCCTCAAATAAGGGTAACCCATTTTCTATGGATCGATCGGACCAATATTATAATTGTAAAGTAATGGAGCTCTCCCGTAAGCCACTTATACAACTTTATCGTTCGGAAAAATAAAGCTAAAAATCACACATAAATATTCCTAGGCCTAGTATAGCACCTATATATACTATATTAGTCCCTCAGATAGCGTGTCTTATGTCTAGGATGGTTAGGCTTACTGAGGTATCAACATAAATATAACTTTCCCGGTTTGTCAAAGTTCAATAATACGAAAGTCAACTGTCTTTCGTTCCATCTCGACATGTATGCACATTGGTACTATAATTTTAGAATGGACTGGTCTTTATTTTGCAAATATCTTTCTCTAAAATCTCGAACTTGTTTAGCTGCAAGAGCAAGACCTTCTAGTGGCACTCTTAGCTCATTCCCCCTCACTCGTAACAAATACTTACCTCTTAATAGTGAACTCTTCCTCTCCCCTAACCAACCCTCCCCCACGCTCGCTATCATCCCTCTTCCCAGCTCAACCACCCTTTCTCCCTCATTCAACCTTCCCCTATAGCCACCATTCCACACCTTCCCTCACACTGTATCCCCTCCCTCCCTCTTACATGTAACCTAAGGCGGGCGACGCTTCCCTTCTCTCCCGCAGGACCTGATTGGGTTGGAGAACGAACTTGACCGGGTAGGAGTAAGTGTGGCGGAGGCGGAGAGCGTCAAGCGGAGATATGGGGCCATGGTGACCGCGCTGAAGGGAGAGGCAGCGTCCTACCGGACCACACTAGACAACCTGCAGGCGAGGCTCCTGGAGGAGAAGGATGCTCTCAAGAAACTGAGGGTCGGGTATTTCCAAAATTACTTCTCTCTATTTTCCTCCTAGCTCCACCGCACACAATGTACACACGTACATGTGCGCCACACAAACGCATACGCACATTCACAACAGCTTACTATGATTCTACAAGATGACATTAATAAAATGAACACAATATAGAATGTTAGGCAGATCGCATCTTCGTTGATTAACAGAGAACTTTTGGCAATGTTGCTCTGAAAGTGATTTATTTGAAACTAGATACAGCAGGCTAGTGTGTCGGAAACAGTGCTGAGTTGAGTGAAGTACTTCTGTCAGGAAGGAAGAAGGCAGAGCGTCACATTTAGGTAAAGGTATTAGAAAAGAGAGGAATTACAAGTACTACAAGGGTCTGTACTAGAGCCCATCTTTTCTTAATATACATATATATCTTAACAGAAGAAATACGTTTATTCGTATTGTTGGCCGATATGATGTTCAAGTAACGTAAATAATCACAAGGGGGGAGGACAGCAGTACATTGCTGTGTGAATAACTCTCCCGAGGTGGTCTGCTAAACTTTAGATCCGGCCAGTTTCAAAGTTGTGATGATAGGGAGAGTGAGGCCTCAAATACACCAGTACACAAGAATATACACACACACATAACTGTCCTGATGAGTGTTGCTGTCTTGCCAAGTCCTTCAGGATTCTTGCAGGAGACCCGACGAGAGTTGCCGTCTTACTAAGCTGCGCAGGACACATGAGTCTCGTTGCAGTAGATGCGCTGTCCGGCCTCGGCGACGAAGACTTGGGGTGGATTTTGGTGGCTAACATTAGTAGGGCCTAACAGTAACTGTCGTCAGAGTACTCGTTTTACCAGTAGAAGCCGTTGTTGTAGTAGCAGCTAGTCATACAAGTAGGAATAGTTATATTTCACGTCATTGTAGTATTGGCATTAGTCGTAAAATCAGACGGGACAGTAGTTATATTAACAATATAAGTAGTTGTAGTAGTAAGCAACAGTTGTGGTACTAATACTGTGTGGTGGATACTATTTACAGGAGAGCCGGAGAAACGCAGAGAGAACGCGAGATTCCCTCAGAACACGGCTCCATGACGAGGAGGAGTCAGCCTACGAGACCAAGAGGGAGAGGGAGAAGAGGCTCTTTGAATATAGGTGAGGTGATGTGGTCATACAATGGGGTGGTGTTGTGAGGTCATACAGTATGGTGAGGTGGTGCGGGGTTATGCAGTTTCCCAACGTCAAGAAAACGGTCAATTTAAAGTGTCCTCCTAACCTCAGCCCGTCCTACAAAAATGGGGTGGTAAATGTAAGAAGACAAATAAGTGCAATTATGTACTATTCATAGCAATTAGGAATTGTACTTATTTTCACTTAGTATTAAATCGTAGTCAAATATATTGTGAATATTTGAGTTTACCTGAAAAACTAAATAGAAAACCACAACCTTACCTAACCGTCTTAGTTTTTGAAGATAATTTTATTGCTTCTTAATTACAATTAGTACTTAACCTATAGCTATATTGATATTACAGTTTTATAAAACTAATAAAACAAAACTAAAGTATATCAATAAATTATAAAGTAACTCAGGGTATTTTAAAATTTTGTATAAAATCTATATTGTTTAATAAACCTGAAAAAGAAATTCCTGATATTTAAAACTTGTGTATAGAAAATTAAAATTGATAACTTCATCCTAAAATTCTGAATGTCTTAACAGAAAACGAGGAGAATTAAATCATGGGAGGGGGTTGGGTAAATGTAACAGCCTCATAAGTGCAATTATGTATTGTTAATGACAGTAAGAAAATGTACTTATTACACTTAGTATTAAATCGTACTGTCAATTCGGATGATTGGTTGCCTAACCTACCAGAGGGACCCAAGCAAGCAGCTTCCACTTACTAGTACGTCAAGTTTTGGTCTTTTGTAACGCATACGAACGAAATTCGACGTTCTTTGCAAGAGGACAGGTTGATTATATGACAAAAGATTTTAAATTGCAATAAATAATGAGCAAACACACGTGCTTACTGCAGAATAGGTAGTTCTTTAAGATACAAACATTCTCAATAACCAGAATATTATCATATTGCTGTTAAATTATATTTAAACCTCCAAATGTGTTTTGCGAGATTGTTAAAATTGTGGCAGGCGTCGGGCGGAGGAGCGTCGGGCGCAGGACCTGGGAGCGGCAGTTGACCGCCGCCTCTCTCTCTTGAGGACTCCCACCAGGAGGGACTCACCCACCGCCGCCCTCACCCAGGACACACACGAACAGATTGAGGAAGAGCTCGAGAAGTACCAGCAGGTTTTCACCAAACTCAAGGTCAGGTATTTTTAACACTTAATAAATATTTCAGCCGAGTAGCAAGGGCCTTTAATTCAGAAATAAAGACCTTAAATTTTTTTAACTGACAAAAAGTAGGCAAAATTTGCCATAAATGTGTAAATGTCACATGTAATTATATTTAAGTCATTCAGAGAACTGTTCACTTGGTACGCCCAAAAGCCAGCAGCAGCAAACCCTCCTAACATCACGTGTTGTAATCCTTACAGGAGTCTATATCAGTATGTTGGGTGCTGTCTTTACTTAAAAGATATCACAAGGGAAGCCGAATAATTGTATTAATCACTGATTAGATTTCTCTTCACAATTAGTTGCGAATATACCGTATTTTTAGAGTAAAAGAAAGACCAATTTTATAAGTTTTTTTCGTGGAAAAACAGTTAGCTTCATCATACAGTATACTGAAATTGACGATCAAGTGATTTTGTAGAAGCTACAATACATACTCGTGGACCAAAAACGTGTCCTATTCGCCGGTAAATACAATATACAAAAACGTAATTTTTGTGGTGTAGGAGGTGCTGGGTGTGACGAGTGTGGAGGAGGTAGTGGAGAGGCTGACGACCCAAGGCAACACTAGAGAACACCTCCGTCAGCTGCGCTCAGTCACCCTCGAGGAAGTCACTAGACTCAAGCAGGAGAAGGAACACATGCACGAAGAGCTCCATAGAGTCAAATATGCTACCACTGAGGATGCTGCCAGGCTAGTCTCACCTTATTACTACGTATTTTACCATAACCAATACCTTGCTATTATCCTCAGTCTTCACGTGTAATATTCACGCCCTTTAAATACAATGCATCCTATTGTATCTTATTTAATAACACACGAAGTATTTGATCACATTGTATTTATACAATAGCCGGTGTTGAGAGCGCCATACTTCTTTACGAATACGAAGTGGATGCAGTTTAATAAAAAAATAAAAATACCATTAACATACTTTTGTAAGTAATACTTAAGCACACATGAATACATCTACTGCGGATTCGCATTTCTTTACTTTAGAAAAATTTTTCAATTCAATCTTAATGAATACTTGTCTACAGGATGGTTGGCGTTATAGGGGAGCTGAAGAAGGATGTAGACGATAAAGAATCAGCGAGGGAGGACCTATCCAACCGCCTGGACGGCACCCTGAAGGTGCTGGCAGGAGTCAGAGCTGGTCTTGAACACGTGGCTGAGAAACTGGAGGTGAGGATATGTTCATCTCATCTCGTGTGATGTCGTGGCTTCTAAGGTATTTAATCCTACCGGTAAAAAAATATCTTTATTTGTGATACCTTAGGCATAGGTTAATTGCAAAATCAGCGAGCCATTCAGTATCTGCTTTTGGCTAGAATATTCAGAGGTATAAAATTATTTAGCGAGAGAATGTCAGCTCATATTTTTCACCAATTATTTCACATCCTAAACTCCCTGCATCAGCTCATATTGGAGGATACCATCACCCTTCCTCCCAGATCACTATCAGTTAATAAAATAGTTGTTGTTGTTTTAGATTCAGCTACTGGAACAAAAAGTTTCAAGTTTTTTTTTTTGTTGCAGGGGATATTCCAGTTCAAAGTAGCACGGGCTATGGTAAGCCCGCAGTGGACTTACCTGGCACAGGAGTGGGAATGTAACTTTTGAAGTTACTTAATTGTTGCCAGTCGCTATATCCAATGTTTCCCACCTCACTCCCTTATCTCTATCTATATTTATCACCCTTTCCTTGTATTAGTTTACATGTTAATTGCAGAGTGCGGTTAAGTACCACTAAGCATGGTGAAATACCGCCGTACATGGTAGAGTACACCTGGAGTTTACCTGGGGAGGGTTTCAAGAGTCGTCCTACTCTCCAGCGGGCCATAGACCCACATATCTATTACGCCCTAGTTACTCTGGCACTTCCTGAAGTCGCCTGTTCCAGCAATATTTATCATGCTTGCTGAGAGTATTAAACAGCCGTGGACGTCAAATGTTTATACAATGCTGCTTGTGCCTATGGCACCTCTACTTCTCACTGGTTCTATTCTGCACTTCCTTCCGGTTTCTTCTGCTCCTGTATGCTGTTAATTTCACTATGCAAATTTGGGACCTGACCTTCAAGTAGTTTCCATGTATCTGGTACCTCTCTTCTCCTTTCCAGAGAAAAAGCATTTCCTCTTTCCTTTTTGAGAGCTTTGAGACTGTCCCATTGATTTAGCTTTTTCGTGTCTATGCATACGTATATGTTTCATACCACATGTCTTCTCTATATTCCTTTAATTTTAGAAATGTCTCCTACTCTAAAAGGAAAAGAAAAGTACCGAGCAGTACTCAAGGGGGGACAGCCTTAACAATATAAATAGTATTAATATTGTGGTGAATTTCAACGCTCTCAAAATCCATTCTATCATTTTCATGACTGACACCATATTTCCTTAGTTATGTTCACCAAATGTCAGGTGAACTGACATAGTTCCCAGTCTTAGATGTTATTTTTTCGAGTAGGTTTCATTGTGGCATCCTGCATTTTGTTAGTTCTTAATAATTTATCAAATGCGAGAGAAAAAAAGTACTCACCTAGTTGCGCTTGAGGGGGTTGAGCTTTGTCTCTTTGGTCCCGCCTCTCAACCGTCAATCAACTGGTGTACAGATTCCCGAGCCTACTGGGCTCTATCATATCTATATTTGAAACTATAGTCAGCCTCCACCACATCACTTCTTAGTGCATTACATTTATTAACTACCTTAAAAAATTCTGAAAAAAGTGGTGCACGGAACGTGCCCTGGAATAGAACTTAACTGCGCTTGAACTATATTATTGCTACTAAGCATTGTATAAATAGAAAATTGAAAATCCAGCATTCTTCTTGCATGGCACCATCACCAAAACAATGTTTGATGACGTGTTTCATCCGATAGCTATTTCGTAAGTTACAGGGGCATTTCCTTACTTTCATCTTAACCTTTGGCAGTGTTGTATACCACCACAATGCTAATGATTGGCAATGTCATCTGCAAGTTACTTGTATTAATTATGTAGTTAATACAATTAACAAGTGATAATCCAGCATATACAGGGTGGCCCGAAAGTTACTTTACCGGATATAGTTGAAAGATTATAAATTATATCCTCTAGTCTAGAAATGTACAGATCTTCCTGATGGACTGGCTTTTGTATGTCACCACATTATCTAGAACAGGAATACTGTTCGGCCTATCAAGGTTCTCATAACCAATCTTGAGGTTATCTTGAGATGATTTCGGGACTTACCGTCCCCGCGGCCCAGTTTTTTTTTTTTTTTTTTTTTTTACACACCAAGAAGCAGCCCGTAGCAGATGTCTAACCCCCAGGTACCTATTTACTGCTAGGTAACAGGGGCATCAGGGTGAAGGAAACATTTTGCTCATTTGTCTCCCCCTCCACCGGGGATCGAACCCGAACCTCGGACAACGAATCCGAGGCGCTGTCCACTCAGCTGTCAGGTGCGCAGCGGAGGCGATTTGAACCATTGCCTTGTTTGTAACTTTGTTGTTATAAATTCAGCTACTCCAAGTTCCAAGTAGCACGGGCTATGGTGAGCCCGTAGTGGCCTTACCTGGCACAGGAGCGGTGCTCGGTGGTAATTAAGAGTAGTTGTACTTGTAGATGTTGATGGTTGCAGCGCTAGTCAAGACCATACTATATCCTTACGAGAACAAATTCAAGAGGCAAGACACTGCTTCTTAAAGACTGACCATCGAAAAGTGCTACAGGCCTTTTGTAAAGAAAAAAACTAGTAACACTAATCAATTTCATTAGCCATAACGAAATTATCAATCTTGTCCAGACACCAGAGAAAGAGCGGCCTCCTCGAGTAGAGGCGCCACTGGAACACCTTGTGGTGCTCATGAACTATTCTAAGGACCGAGCAGAGGAGCTTATGGAGCAAGTCAGCCCTTCACATATTGAACTAAAGGTAAACCAAACTCTTAACCTGTCCATGCATATTTCTTTTGAGGCAATTTATTTATATTATGATGAGTAAGGAAGTAATTATCAAAAGTATATTATGATGAACTAATTATAGAATTCGCATTAATAGCCTCTTAGGGATGTGAATTTTATTGAAACATTCACCCCCTCAAGCAAGTGCACAGGACACTGATTAGAATGTGCGACTTTATTAGAACATTGTACCCTAATCATCTTTGAAAAAGCAAACAGTGCAATAAAAATGCTTTTTAGTTGCCACTCAAAATAAAAATTATGAAACTACTTTGCTAAATACTGTGGTAGTTGCATTTTCAACAATTCATATCTTTTCCAGTTAACCAATTAATGGCAGTTGCCAAAATTAAATGTACTGTACTTTTAACATTGAATACCAGTGTCTTGTGGCCTTAAAATGACAAGAGATGTGGTCCAAGCAAGGCAGGTCCTCTCCAAACTTACCACTATCTCCCCAACTTATTCTCAACAGTTTTCTATATTAAAGCTGGCAGAGATGGTAGAAGAGGAGAGAGAGAATGGAGGAATGTTGACATCGCCAGAAAACATTCGAGTTTCTTTCCCTGGTTCAGGAGCAACCACTAAGGCAGCCCAACAACAGGTGCGCCATGACCACTTCTGTATTCTGAATCGCCTCAATATAATGTAACAGACAAAATCATGCATCAAAGACAATACTTTATTATGACATGGACACATTATATATACATAAATAGTAACAATTAGTGGCTAAATTGACATTTCTAAAATTATGGTTGGAAAAAGTCTAGACATTATGAAGACTAATAAATATTACATATTTGCCTAACTACTGAAGAGAACACAACAACAGTGACTTAAAATTTGTGTTTGTACATGTAGTTTCAATAATCACGTAACACGTAGAAGCGGGGCCCTAAAGTGAGCTTTATTTACAGGTGGAGGAAGCTGGAGACAGTGGGGAAGAGGAAGAATCTCTGACGAGAAAGTTCATCAAGAGACAAGCACAAATGATTGTGGAAGCAAAAGCTCGTAAGAGAAACCGTCCTGTATCTACTTTCAAATCCTAAAATAAAAGGATTTGAAAGTAGAAAAGGAACTACATACAAAAAGTATGTAGTTTATAGGGGAGACTTTCTGTACTACAAGTCATGAGAATTTAAAAACGGTGCAACTACGGTTGTTCAGTAATAAACATTTATGTCGCATTATATCAGCAGTGTATTTTTAACACTATACATTAAGTAGTCGTGTAAATAATAAGTCTTGTAACAGTGCTAATTGGAAAAACTAAGGCAAAATGCATCATAACACTTTGGCTGTTTGACAAATCATTATCAAATATTTAAAATAAAATAGTCACCATCATTGTCACAATTCGTGCATGATTTACTGTCACTTCATCAATTTTGTCCATGATGGCAGCAATATACATCTCCCTTTACATATTCCTGCCACTGTAACAAGAACAATGCTATTAATAGATGGTCCACACACTTATATAATGTCTGTTCACCCAGATCTCAGAAAAACCAATCAATCACCACTATCAGACTGGGGCGGTAAATAATCATCACTGAAAACTTAAAATTACTACTCAATAAAAAGCATCTACTGTACTACTTTAAATTACATAGCATCATTACTTTCATATATTGAAAATATTATTATAAATATTAAGATTCAGACAGAGGCAGTATATAATCATCACTCATTTTGACAAATAAATCCTATCAGATGAACATGGTAGTTTCAAAAAGCATGTCACAAACTACATATTTCAGTAATGTTAATTTGAAGCTTAAAACATCTTACCAATAGCAATTTGGTCCATGAAGGCAGCATAATACAAATTCCTGCCACTGTAACAAGGAAAATAATGCTATTAGCAGATGGTCCATATACTTTGTGTGTACAATGTCTGTTTACACAGATTTCAGAAAAACCAATCAATCACCTCCATCAGACTGGGGCGGTATATAATCATCATAGAATATTGAAAATTTTGTTTTATATCTTTAAATTGATAGTCTGCAAACAATGAGTCACAATAATGTGGCTGAAGAAATGTTGACCAAACCACACTAGTAACTAAAGAGACGATGACGTCTCTGTCCATCCTGTATCATTATCAAGTTGTTGTTAAGAGACAAGGGAGGCACAGACATAAGTAAGGCAAGAGAGGTGTGAAGAGGAAGGAGCATGGCAAAAGGGCGTAAGGGATAGGTGTAATAAATGGTGTAACAATAGGAGTAAGACTGGGAATGTAATAAGAAAAAGGAAGAGAAAAAAGGATGGGTAGGTTTATGTTAGGTCACATTTCTTAAAGTTTAGAACATTTGAGTATGGACTGTGAAAGCAAAGAGTCAACAGAACTTTCTAACAAACGTAACCTAACAACCCTATCCGTCATTTTCTTTTCCTTTTTTCTCTTTCTCACTCATTCTTACATCAGACTAGGGTGGTATATATTCATTACTTGAATGTAAAATATAATGCATATATTGTACTACTTTTACTTACACAGCATCTCATTAGTTTCAATTATTGAAAATATAATTATAAATATGAAGATAAAAAAAAAAAAAAAACTCACCAGCTTAAATATCAATCCTGTTCATGTTAGCAGCTTTCACTTTAGCATTTACAACTTCTGTAATAAAGGTAAATGTACAATTAACAGTCAAACCTAATCTATATACAAAGCTTGCTTACAAATACTGTACAGTATATCAGAAAAACCAATCCATCACCTCCATCAGACTGGGGCGGTATATAATCATCATAGAATATTGAAAATTTATTTCACAGCTTCAAACTTGATGGTGTCTAAAACTACTTATTTCAATATGTTAATCTGAAGCTTAAAACAACTTACCAACAAGAATTACAATGCTGTTCAAGATTGCAGTGTTGTAATAAACACATCTTCATTTACAAACTCTTACCACTGTGAAAAAAAAGAATACTGCTATTAACAGATTGTATAACTAAAATTATATACAACGGCTGTTCACCCAGATCTCAGAAAAACCAATCAATCACCTCCTTCAGACTGGGGCGGTAAATAATCATCATTGAAAATTTAAAATTATTACTCGATAAAAAGCATATACTGTACTACTTTAAATTACTGTATGTACCATCTCATTACTTTCATAATATTTATAATTATATTTTCAATATAAGATTCAGACAGGGGCAGTATATAATCATTATTTTGAAAAATCCTAACAGATGAACATTTATTAGTTTCAAAAAGGATGTCACAAACTACATATTTCAATAATGTTAATTTGAAGCTTAAAACACTTTACCAATTGCAATTGTGGCCATGAAGGCAGCATAACACAAATTCCTGCCACTGTAAAAAGGAGAATAATGCTATTAACAGATCATCTACTATAATGTATATAATGTCTGTTCGCCCAGATTTCAGAAAAACCAATCTATCATCTCCATCAGACTGGGGTGGTATATAATCATCATTTAAATGTAAAATATAATGAATATACTTTCTACTTTAACTTGCATAGCATCTCATTAGTTTCAATTATTGAAAATATAATTATAAATAAGAAAAAACTCACCAGCTTAATTATCAATCCTGTTCATGCTTTCACTTTAGCATTTACACCTTCTGTAATGAAGGTAATTATACAATTAACAGTCAAACCTAATCTGTATACAAAGTTTGCTTACAAATACTGTACAGTACATCAGAATAACCAATCAATCACCTCCATCAGACTGGGGCGGTAAGTAATCATCACTTAATTTTGAAAAATTATAACAGACTAACATTTGCTACAGCTTCAAACAAGATATGTATCCCTAAAACTACACGTCTAAATACCGTTAATTCGAAGCTTAAATCACCTTACCAATTGTAATATCCATTTCGTCCATGATGGCAGCACTATACATCTTCCTTTACAAATTCCTGCCACTGGAAGAGAACAGATTATTAACAGATGGTCCACATATACATGTGTTCTTCCATGTCTGTTCACCCAGATTTCAGAAAAACCAATCAATCACCTCTATCAGGCTGGGGCGGTAAATAATCATCATAGAATATTGAAAATGTGTTTCACAGCTTTAAACTGCAGTGTCTAAAATTACATATTTCAGCATGTTAATTTGAAGCTTAAAACAACTTACCAACAAGAATTACAATACAGTACTGTTCAAGATGGCAGCATTGTACTAAACATCCTCATTTGCAAACTCTAACCTCTGAAAAAAAGGAGAATACTGTTATTAAGAGATGGACTGAATATGTATACAATGTCTGTTCACCCAGATCTCAGAAAAACCAATCAATCACCTCCTTCAGACTGGGGCGGTAAATAATCATCATTGAAAATTTAAAATTACTCAATAAAAAGTATCTACTGTACTACTTTAAATTACATAGCATCTCATTACTTTCATATATTGAAAATATAATTATAAATATTAAGATTCAGACAGAGGCAGTTATCACTCAACTTTGAAAATTCCTAACAGATGAACATTTGTTAGTTTCGAAAAGGATGTCACAAACTACATATTTCAGTAATGTTAATTTGAAGCTTAAAACACCTTACCAATAGCAATTTCGTCCATGAAGGCAGCATAATACAAATTCCTGCCACTGTAACAAAAGAGAATAATGCTATTAACAGATGGTCTAAATGTGTGTATATAATGTCTGGTCACCCAGATTTCAGAAAACCAATCAATCACCTCCATCAGACTGGGGCGGTATATAATCATCACAAACTTCAATATTACCATGATGGCAGACTTCTTTATTTACTCTCTTGTCACTAACAAAGGAAATTATACAATTATCAGCTAGGCCTATAGTCTGAATACAGTCCGACTACCAATGTATTAGATAAACCAATCACCTCCCTCAGATTTTCAGTATTTAATCATAGAAAATGAAAAATTATAGAATATAAAGCATATACAGTACCAACTTAAATTAGATTGGATTTTACCGATGCTTGAAATATTAAAAAGACGATATACCTGAAATGGGTCTCTTCCCACTTCCCCTAAACCCCTTCTCCACCTTTGTGCTCCCTCTCTCCTCTCTGAACATGTAATCCCAGCAAACATTTTTACAACCGTTACTTTGATGCAACTTTCTAATAACAATTCCATTATCTTTTAATGCTTGATATAATTAATAATATCAAGATTACAATCCTTACCGGTTTAAATTCCAATCCTGTCCATGCCACCAGCTTACACTTCACCATTTACAAACTTCTGCAACTGTAACAAAGGGAATCGGACAATTAACAATTCGACCTCATCTATATATAAAGTTTACTTACCAACATGTCAGAAAAACCAATCAATCACCTCCATCAGACTGGGGCGGTATATAATCATCATAGAATATTGAACATTTTGTTTCATAGCCTTAAATACTCTCTTTCTAAAACTACATGTTTCAGTAAAGAAGTTGAAGCTTGAAACACCTTACCAATAGCAATTTTGTTCATGAAGGCAGCATAATACAAATTCCTGCCACTGTAACAAAGAGAATAATGCTATTAACAGATGGTCTAAATATGTATATAATGTCTGTTCACCCAGATTTCAGAAAAACCAATCAATCAACTCCATCAGACTGGGGCGGTATATAATCATCACTTAAAACTTCTAAATTATTACCCAACACCATACACACACTATCTGATATTAAAGGGCAGCTCACTGAAGCTTCATGTATTCAAAATATAATTAATTTCAAGATTAAACACCTTACCTGTTTAAATCTGAATCGTGTCCATGATGGCAAAATTCACACAGGATTCAATCGAGTGACATTAAAAAACAAGACTTCTAAATCATCCTGAAAATCTGGACATGCCAAAAGAGGCGGACCACAGAGACATTGCGGAGATAGTACAGAGAAAGGCATTGTTCCCTTAAATGCTCACAAAATTAAATTCATGTGGCCAATACTATGCCTAGTGATATTGGACAATTAAATTCGCTAAATTCGAACACCGAGACAGGTTCTAGATTAAATAGTTGACCTCTCTGAAAGGCTAAAGCTAATATCTGCCATTTACAAGTTAAGTAATTATCAAAAGAAGGCACCAAGCTGCCATTTACAATGTAAACATTTAACAACAACAAAAACTCACCTGAGAAGTCACGTCAACTCATACTTGACAATTGCAGCACATGCCGTAGCATATATTTTTTTAATGCTGTAAGGCCTTGGCCTTGGGCCAAGTGAGTTATTCAGCACCACGTTTTCCAGTCACAAACCATAATTTTGTGTCTCAGGATGGCTTGGTAGCAAGCCAAAACGTGCTTACCACAGTAATCCTAAAGCACAAAATTCTCAAAACTGAAAATTAGTTATAATTCCTTATTCACCAAATCTGTAAAATCTCTTAATACTTAGTGAGCAATAAATATTACAGTAAAAGGACAACTTTCCTAAAACATTCAATAATGGTTCTCCAAATAACTCAAGGCAACAAAAATACAAATTAATAACTTGTGGCAACAGTTATATTTGATTCTGAACTAGTCAGAATTGTTTGCACTACTGTATAATTGTGTAGTGAACAGGCTAAAACTTCCAGCACAGACAGCAAATTCTTAATTTTTAAACAATATTCCAGTGGAAGAATCTACTGGTAGAACTCTAATTCAATTTAACAATTATATTTGTACACAGGTTATGCCAAAACAAATTCTGTACTTTAGTTACTAAAATTATAAATTAAGTTTTATACTGTATGCATTATTGAATTTACTTAAAAAATTTAAATGAGAAATATTTTAGTTAAAAATATTCAGTACTGTACAATTGCATTTTTTGTAAAAGTAATCTTTGGTAATTTTAACACATCAGTATTGCACAGTAAATGTGTTCATACTTTTGAACAAGTGAATCCAGCAAGGGATACCACACTGCAGAACTCATAGCCCAAAAATAAAACTTTCTGTACTTAATTTAATGCCCACTACAATGAAGCCTTTCCAAAGTGATTGAATGCACGCTCTATAAATAGAATTAATACCAACTGCAATTTAAAAGGACAAGGATACAAGAATTTTTTTTCACTCTTTTACTGTAAATATTTTACTTCTTGCCAGTGACTGCAGCATCTTCTGCTGCCTCCTTCGCCTTCTTGGCACGCAGACCCCAGTTACGAGCAATAGAACGCTCCTGCAAGGATAAAAATGCTATGCAACAACTTGTTCAACAATCACAGTAAAAACAATCTGTGATAGCCAACTACTACACTCAAAAGTACAGGACCAATCTGAATAATTTAGGCAAATCTATGGATATTTTCCCCCCTTTAAATTTGTTCTCCACTGTTTCAAAGTGACTTGGTTGAAACTTCCACCACAGTAGTGGACATATCAGATTCAAGAAACATGTACAGTTTGGCAAGAATGGGCCAATATCTACCTTTGCATCTGGCGGTGCAATGTTAGATATTCACTCGAGCGAGTTTTCCAAATTTCAAATTTATATACAGGCTACAGTTTCAAAGCAATTCTTATTATTGTTAAATATTATATGCCATGTTGGTTGTTCTCTAGACTGGCCAATTCATTTCTAATTTAGAGCCTAATTTTCAGTTATAAATTTCCAAGCTTGAAAATTTATGCAAAATTTACCAAATAAATTTGTTTTAAAATACCTTTATCAAATTGCCCAATATGAAGAGAACAACCAGATTGTAATAGATTATGTGGGCTTGTCGGCTTCTGCCAACATCATAGTTACCAATCAAGTTATCATATTATAATATTAATTACTATAACATCACATAGTTATCACCAGACTAAATTAACTACAGTACCAGATAATATTACAAAGCAAAATCTTACCCTTCGGAGTGCATTAAAGCAGCCATAGTTCCTCTCCTTCTTGGTAATTCTCTTGGCCTTCTCTCTCTTTGCTCTTTGGATGTAAGGCATAACCTCACCCACCAATTGTTGTGCCAATGCCAACTCTTGAGGCTGTAAAATAAAGAAGTTAAGGTTAAATTAAAACTCTTTATCCATTTGCGAGCGAAAAAAATTCCAGCTGGTAATGAATAACGTGATGCGCATTTTTTTGTAATAACAATTTCCATTTTCAAATTAGTGAGCAACAAAAAAATAAGATGCATAAATTGTTGGCAAGAAAAATTAAGGAATAGATAAAACTACTGTATATTCAATTTTGTGTGAAGGGTGATATCATTTAGAACAATGCCTGTTAACAATACATTTTCTCTTTGAAATTATTAATGTGAGAAACTTACTGCATAAACTATTCAATACAGGTAATGAAATGGCCCCCCAAAAAAAATAAAAAAATAGACGCCTACCCTTCACTGTTATATACGAGTTCAAGTTTTAAGCATAAAGTCAACCCAAGCTATAGATACAAGTCACTTATCACAAATTAATTGCAATATAAAGTTCTCCACCACTCACCACCATTAGTTGGATACTTGCTAAACAAATGTTTGTCTTAAGGGGCCCCGGGGACTGAGGAGTATTTTTCCAAATGTGAAGTAGTGAAAATTTGCATACAAATGTTCCATTATTTGACATCAATGTTGTGAAAATTTCATTCCAATGTTAAAATTAACTATAAATTAATTAAAAAAATTAACTTTTTACAATTTAAAAAAAAAATAAATGCGTGTGTGACAGGTGGCAACCAATACTGATGATAATGATAACGCCACCTATTTACAGTATTGAAATTCCAATTGCCTGAAATTCCAATTTCAACTTTGAGACACCGTCAAAAATTCAGTTTCAGACTTATTCTCACCATTTTCACGTATAGTATGTGCAAAGGTCTTAGTTCTAAGGTGTCCTCAGCTCCGTTTAGTCATAAAGCTTAACGTTCAGCGTTATAAATTTTTTTTGCGTTTAACTTTTGCACAAATTTGGATTGAAAAAAGTTTCAGTAAACTTTACAATATTTTGAGGCGAGGAACATGAACATTATGTCATTCCGAGACCATAATGAATAAAATAACAATCAGTGACATTTTAATATTGTTAAAGCTAATTTAAAATTGTGAATTTTTTTCTAATTATTCTTCTGTTCATATGTTCGTGATCCATTAGGAAATGTCATTGCATTTACCATGATGATACTGTATTATTCACAAAAAATTGAGTGAGATTATTTTTGGTGCACCGTCAACGGGCCCCTTAAACCAGTGAAAAAATACATACACCAGACATTTTAATTGGATTAGAAACATACCGATGAGTCAGTCTTCTTAGGTTTGCTGGCCTTCAAGGGGAATAGAATGAGTTTGCTCTTGTATTCCTTAAGGCGCTGAACATTCAGTTGTAGGGACTCCATGGATTTGTTGGTACGGCGGTAGTCTACAGATATGCCAATAGTATGGGCATACTTCTTGGCAAGTCCAGCAGCCTGAAGTACAATACGGATCATCAGAAAGTTACAACTAGAAAACATGTAGTAAAAAATTTAACATGGTTTGATACAGCCAATTTTGTAGGTTCTAGAACTTTACTAGTTCCCTGGATGGATAGCTGGCTGGTCACCTGATTCACCAACCGAGTGCAATTGTTCCAAGCAACTACCAGCTGTGTGCACAATTGAAAATAAAAACAGTATTGAATGTAATGAAACTGAACTGGGAAAAAGGGTAAATGTATTTCCACCTCAACCAGTCCAAACAAAAGGCATCTTGTTACAGGCATCCCCTGTGAGTGTTTCTCGATTGGTAAACAGCCACGTACGAGGAAAAGCACAGGTTCCACACTGATGTGACAAGATCCACCTCAGGGTGACTGAACACTTCAGAGTCAACAGAAGGAAGCATCACTGGCAGTCCACTATTGAAATGGGACAGAAGCAAGATAACCCATCCATGACAATGTTGGAGACACCCCATAAGTGACCCACACAAAGAACCAAACCCCAAGAAGCCAAGCACCCTTCTGAATCTTTCTCAAGGTATGCCAGAGCTACAAACTTGCACAACATGCTGTATACCTTAAGGAGCAGACCTAATCACCATCCCCAGGGCAGTCTGGCGAGTACTGGTCACAAAGCCCCAACCCAGAGATGAGGCATCTTTTGACACAATGATTGGGGAGGATGGTGCAATGCAAGTGAACCCTGAAAAACTTAAAAGGGGAAGCTGGAGAAGTAAGAGCCAACAAAGGGCAAGTGGGGTCAGTACCCACCAGTCCTAAGAGCAGAAAAGGCAGAACTGGAGGAACCAGGAGCGGCAGAATTGGAGGAACCAGGAGCAGCAGAACAAGCAAAACTAGAGGAACCAGGAGCGGCAGAAGAAGCGGAACTAGGAACGGTAGAACAGGTAAAAAAACTGATACAATGCTTGAAGCCAAACTCTGCCCAGGGAAGAAAGAATATAGATAAAGTTCAGGCTCTTGCACTATCACTTGACCAATCAAATTACCCATTTCTGTATTGAAACATGTAAACTGGCATAATCCATGTTGACCTTATGTTTATAATGAATAAACTGACATAGGCTGTTACACGAGAGGGAAATTGGCAAAAGCATTAACAAAAGCAATAGAAAATATGGGGCCAAGACCACTGTGCATATTGCAGAGGTAGATGTTAGCACCCAGAGATAGCACAAACAACACAAATGTGACAAAATTTACCACACTCACTGTATGCAAGTCTCATTTCAGAGATTGTACTTTCATATTACAATAGACACCGAGCTAAACAATTTCTTAATTCTATAAACTACTGTAATGCCAAAGTACCCAGTGGGCAAACGATGCTGGTTCAACGATGATAATGCAGATTCCACATTACTCAAGCATGTTTTGCCCACTGGGTATTAATTACCACCAATATAAGTACATTTGTTCAATTGAACAAATCTATTTTTGAACTCACCCTCAGTTCTTCCAAAGTAAAACCCTTTCCCAATCGCTGCTTTGTGTTGTACCTGAAATTAAATAAAATTTATAACATTTACAGCAGATTTTTCCCAGAAAAAAAAAAAGCAATTAGGAGAAAAAGATTTGTAATACAATGTAACCAATTGTAATTAGCATCCTCACAGTAAATACTGTATGGTTTTGTCATGCTATTTTTATTACTCTCAACAGCTTTTCTTTCAATATATCGGGAACGCCTAGCTGCATTACTTGAAACTGATCTTGCATCACTGTAGAATTAAGTTTCCATTCGTTTTGGGCAGTGTAGTCTAATGTTAGTTGTATATTTCTGTAATATATACATGGCAGAATTTATGCTAAAGAAATTCATAACAGTACAGTCAGCTGTCCAATGTGCTACATTCATGCGAGACCAGTGGTTCCCAGCTTTTTGAGATGGCTACCTTTTAATACTTAATCACATTACAGTAATTATAAATACAATATACAAAGTAAAACGCACAAAATTGAAAATGCATTATTCAAAAAGCTCACTCGTGATCAAAATAAATTAAAACGAAAATAACCTACTTGAAGGTTGGGCAACGAACAACAGGCCTTAGCCTGCCGAGAGGACGTGGTGCGACACAACGTGACTTAGCCTGCCTCTTGTTGCGGCGGCGTTGCTTACGGGCAGGTTGGTTGAACCATGTACGCACATAACGCTGCCAATCTTTATGGAAATGGCAATTTGGGACAATATTGTTTCTCTTAGGAGCCATGGCTAATCTGAAATACAATTTAGTTAGCATTACAAAATATGTAACAATTTGAGAAATATATACAACCACACTAGAAATAGGCAGAACCTGAGGTTATACTTTAATTGTAAACTCCAGAAAAGATACTAGAACCCTGAGGAAGCTGATGCGATCCCTGTGTAGCTGCGGGACATTTAAATCGTGCACAGCACCCTCAATTGCATATATACACAATGTGATTGGTATTAGGGTTAAATGACGTAATTTAATTAGAGAAAACCTAATACAGTATGTGCATCCTATGATGTGGTACCAAATGTAAAACACGAAAAACTAATTTACTTGGAGATAGAGCATTTTATAACACCATAGATGGTGGTTGGTAATGGCAATAAAGTTAAAAGATTCGAGTCTTGTGAACTTTCATGGCAATCGCCCATCACCAATTTCAGTCTAATTTCATTGTACAGTATTTCTTAGCAGTCCCTGTGGCACAGAGGTAAAACACCTGCCTCACAAGCCATTTGGCCTGGGTTTGTACCTTGGCTGGGGACGACTGACTGAATATCAATCCTTGATTGAAACCTCTGTTCGCCCAGCAGTGAATAGGTACCCGGTTGTTAAACGATTTGGCGGGTTGTATTCCGGGGAAAATTAAGGTCAAGAACCTGCCCAAAATGCTATGCGTGCAAGTAGATTTATAAGAATGCAAGAACTCTTATACAGTATATATTAAAAAAATTAAACTTTTTTTTTTTGTTCAACATTCAGTACTAACATTACAGCAAGAAAATGTCAAGATTACTTCTTATGAAATTTAAGGAAGCTTTTTGGTGACTGGGCAATTTATTGAACCACATTACACTATTTAGATATACAGGCTAATTAAGTGTTGAACAATCTGTCTACATGATAACAGGCAAACAAGTGAACCTTGAGGCATACATAGATGGGCTATGGTCAAATCACATAGAACTGTTCAACAAAGTGCACTTTCAGTTTGTCATAACCATACATAAAGAGTCAAGTTAGGCTTTGTTATGTTAGGTTTCCCTCGTATGGGCCAATATGCTTTCTGTAGTTTCCTCGATTCTTATGTTTGTTTGAAAATCTTAAGTCAATAATGTGACATAGGCAGTACTAGTACATCAATAACTATTGTTCAATAAACAATAAATTATAATGCATTGTGTCGTGGAATAGGGAAGGGAACTATCAGGGGGGAAAGCAAGCCATTACAACTACATAGCACTGGGAGATCAGGATAACAATTTAGGATGGGACGGAGGGAAGGAATGGAGCCCCAACCACTTGGACCGTAAGGGTATTGTACACTCCTGTACACCTCAGTCATGTTAGCCCTAATGCTTCACCTTTCTAGAAAATGTAAATTAAGCTTTCTCAATCTCTCTTCGTATTAAAGGTTTCTAATTTGTGGGATTAACTTTTTCGTCCCTTGCTGGACAAGTTCTTGTGAATTCACATTTCTATAGTATGGTGCCCAAAACTCAAAACTGTATAAACTAAATTGGGCCTGACAAGAGCAAGATACAGGGCAAGATTAACACAAGGTGTTTATTACTAATGGATCCATGATCCAATCATTTCAATCAAATCAAAATCATCTCAAGATGGTCTGCACGAGCTGCACAAGTACTGTATCTGGGATTCAATCATTTTCGCAAGTCGAGCCCAACCCCAGGCCGGGCTCGGGTAGTAAAACAACCCCCACAACCCCCTCTGGGTAGAGCCGGTCATCTCACATCTGCGAGCCACACTTTCCTCACTACATTACATGCTTTGGCTTTATTTCCAAATGATTTGAAAAAATGTTGAAACCCAGAGAAACCTAACCATATATAGTTTTAACAATTAGAAAATGATTATATTTCTTGCAATTTACATAGGGTTAAAAAAAAATAACCAAAAATGATGTCACTGTAGATCACTACTATAACAAATCCTGTAACCTGTCCCCGGGCTGGGGTAGGGGTATATACAACTCACAGAATCTACTCTTGGTGTGTCCATCAAAATATATTTGTTGTTTTACACTACACGAGGCGAGACATCACTCATTAGTCTGCCTCAGAGACACCTGGTGGGTACTACACTTCATACCATACTACACTTCACCATACCCACTACCAACAAAACATTTTCACGTCGATTAATTTAGACATTAATAATCTAATCTAGCCTAACCCAAGTAATAATCTAAGCAGATTTAGGTGCGTTACATATATGAAAACATTAAAATAACTTTTTTTGGGGGGGGGCCTAACTACCTGTGCACGAAAAGCACATGCACATATCTTTGCAATGTTCCTTATACGGTACCCACACAGTTTAGGGCATTTGCAGAAGCTAAATATAACTCAAGTCGGGTAAATACTACACAACTAGACGGCCCTTAGCGGCGTGCACCGCAGATGTTGTCAACAACACAACCACGGCGGCTCATTTTTACCAACAATTATCTGTCCCATCTGCACATCCTGCCCAACAACCAGGGTGCTAACTACTCAACCAGTCCTCGCACCTTGCGGTAGTCCAAACTCAAGCTATCTGGGGCCTCACGTGACACTAGGAGAAGGCTTCACACAAACATTCCTCAGCACTAACCCTCACGGCTCCACGACAACAGGAAAGGAGCTTCTCGCCCAAAACAAACTCCAGAGATTGATTCTTGGTTCTTATTTCTTTAACATATTATTTCTCTATTTTCGTTATATCTCTTTCTTTTGACACTTTTAAATCAATTATGCAATATTTTTTTCACAAAATGAAATTTATGTGCGGTAAACTCACTAATTTTGGCAGATTGGTGGTTTAAAATATATTATTGAAAATTGAACTTTTGCATGGTAAACAATATTAAATTCATATAATACCGATTATCAAATTTATATGATAATACATAATTATGCAATATGTATAAGATGTACGAAAAATAGAGTACATAATATTTATTGCAGTCATATAGTACGGCACAGGGATTTCGATGGAGTTCGGGCCCGTGCCAAGGATGATTGACTGGGCACCAATATTTATCTGTTCGCCCTTATTTACCAGGCAACATTTATTATATATATATTTTTTCAGGCACTGTTCAGCGATACTTTGTAATGCTCCATAGTATTGAGTAGCAATATACTCTGTACAGTATACCTAAGCTTAATATTTGTTAATAGTAAAAAAAGTATACACGTGGTAAACTAATGTATTTGGTTTCAAAGTGCTACTGTAGGGCCATTTTAAGTGTAACCAGAGTGTTTGTACTGTATATTAAGGCTTATAGTTCTGAAGGCTGTGGCACGGCATCATCCAAGCTGTGGAAAGCCTTCGCACAAACCTGTCACTGGCGTTTGATTGTATGTATTGAAAAGAGCAACCCAAATCCACAGTGATCTAGTTTTAAGTTATTATTTTCAAGTGTCAAAAGGCCTTTCAAAGGTCTGCAAGTACTGTAGTCATATTGGATACTCATTTTTGTCAAGAACCACGTGTATTAAGTATATATATTATAGGACCATTGGTGCTTTCTAGGTGTCTGGTGATGAACAGTGAAGTATTGTATTTCAAGAATTTTTATGTTTAGCTACATGGGAGTAAAGCTACTTGTACATCAGTTTCTCAAATATTTTAAGTAATCTGGGTGAGTTTAATGTTGGTCAGAAGTTGTTAATGTCAGTGAGATCACTATTTTTATGGCCTAGGGTTATTTTTGCTTTCCTGAGGATATTAGGCTAGGCTCAGAATTCTAGTGATCTATTGTAATACAATGGTTGATAAAACATTTCAGTATGTAGTAGGATTAGGTATTCCAGCTCATCGTAGTTTTAAGTATTTTCATAGTACAGTTCAGTGTTTGCTTTAGTTATTGTTGCAAAGTACCTCTAACATTTTTGGAGGAAATAGCTATTCTATATTTCTCATTCATGCATTTTGTTAATTGAAGGATCGGTATGTTTTTTTGGTGGTAATTTTAGTTAACATGGGACAGTGCATGTTGCAGAGGCCCTGTTTATGAAAAAATGTTTGCATACCTTCATTGATAGCAAACATTTGGAATGATGAATAGGCCAGATTTCCCAAACTTATTTTAGCAGACAATTTTGAGTTAAAATCTTATTCAGTACTGTAATATAAATCCCGACATCAAACCTTTTGGAAGGCTGCAGTAAAACTCAGCAGCCTAATAACACCACACACACAAAATAGGTATCTAATGTCTCTTTAGAGTTTAACCAAATTTTAACCTTTATGCAGAAAATAGGGCCTTCTGAAACAGCCTTTAAATTACAATAATGTAGCCTTAGTCAATACAAAACAGACAAGGAATTATCTAATTATTATGTATCAAATCCTAATGAAATATCTATCACTCCACTTAGCTTCACAGAACCTAACTTATAAATCCTTCCTCTTATTAATTTTTGCAACCCTAACCACCACTTTTCCACTACTACGATAAACAATCTATATAATTTTATATAGAGTCTATCAATATCAAAAGTCAAAAAATTTTATCAATACGCATTCAACTCTTAAAGGACAGTTAGGAATCATATACATGTACTGTATCCACCTGCTTTCCCTCTATCTACTCACCCTAACCTTCCCTTGCACCAAGTGTAACGTTAGTGTTGACAGTATTTACATAAATGTGTAACCTTTGTGAACTTTCTCGAGGATATTTTACCAGGAATCATTACAATTAAATGCACACATTAGTACTATACTTTATATTACTAGTGGTTTCAATATATTGACCCTTTAAGAAATTAGAAATGCAAATGAAAAATCAGATGAACCATTATATTTTATTTAGATTTATTAATCACACCACACAAATCTTCAACATTCACTCATTGGTCTCAAAGTGAGCATGTAGAAATGCTGACAAATAATGCTTACAGACAAAACATTTTCACTACACATTCATATATCTGGGAATTTTTGGTGAAATTTGTTATCACAAAATTTCACAATATTTAAACAAATACACAGTTCTTAATCATCAGAAATATAACCAAGACCTTGATAAAGCATTAGAAGCAGTTGCTTTAACCACTTTGTCAAATACATTTTTATTTTTCTGAAAGAATGTGTATACAGCCCTAAGTATTATGCTTAACTGATGTACGTGTTAAATTTTCTAGGTGCTATGCTGACCTTACTAAGAATATTGGTGCATGTGAATAAAGTCCTAAACCAAGAGACTTTACGAGTATTATAATACCACAATTTTCCCTAACCACATTCAATCCCACTTGACTTCATAATGAACCTTTCCATTGCATTATTGTGTTTGAATGACATAACTACTAATTATTAATCTCTCCCATGAGTCACTTACTTGACCACCAGTGCCAATGTTGTGTGACACCTAGTAATGCATCATACACCCACACACAATCCAAGCAAACAATAAGAGCCTGGCTTTACCTGGCTACCTGGCTTTATAAGTTCTTGTGTCATTGTATGGACCATGGCTTTGCCTCCAGCAATGGGTTTTCCACATTCCTCAAAGCTAAGCCATGATTAAATAGAGTAACCAGTGTATTCTGGATTACACAGAAAACAGCATACATAACTCATTTGCAAATAAAATATCACAGAACGAGCTTGACTATGAAAAGTAATACTGCCTATTTGGAGAATTTTATTTGAATGTTGACTTCATGAAGTATTCACAAAAAGGCTGTACTGTAGAAAAAAGAAAACTATCCTGTGTTTTTATTTGCTTCAATTCTCAAGACGGCTTTAAGTATAAATAGATACATGAAGATACATAAACCTGAGTAACAATGCTATTCCAGTACAATATATAGTATCACCATTACATAATTGTGGCCGAGTGACAAAGAACCCCCCCCCCCCCAACAGCCACACAACACATTCTCATATACATGACCATCACACACCATGTTAAAGTTGTGTTGCAAGACAATAAGTGAAAGAGGTGGCAAGGTGAAAGGTTGTGAGGAAAAAGAGGGTGCTAATTTTCAGGTGGGGGATAAAGAAGTGGGAAAAGAAGAAAGTTGCAAGCCATTAAGGCTATAGAGCACTTGGAAGGGATCAGGATAAGGATTTGGGAAAGAATGGTGTGCAACCTGCACGAAGTGAGATCGTCGCTCTACCCTCCAGTCAGTGTGGTAATGTTAGGGTTGGGGTGTAAAAGGCTAGTAATGTTATGGAGAGGTATAATGTATGAGGAGTGGTGGGTAATATTTGGGTGGAGAAAAAGGGGTGTTAACGTGAGAGGGTGGTAACATGTGAGGACGGTGGAGAGAGAGAGAGAGAGAAAAAAAGGCAGTGGTAATGTGCGAGAGAAGGCAAGAGAAATGAGTGGAGGAAGAGCAAACTGACAAAAACTGCCAGACATTAAAATCTCGGACGAAGAGCACAAGTGCAAGGCTGTAATGCATCACCCACACAAAGCTCATAATGTACTGTATTCTATCAGTTTCTCCCAAGAGTTAATCTTAATATTAACCAAGGACAAGTTGTCTGCCATACATTTAAATTATTCAATACACGACCTGTGGCAAATTTTATTCCCCACTTAATTACCAGGTGTCGCTTGTCATAAAACAAGAGACCGTTTCAAGTAACTAACTTGTGACAATTTGTCAACTAATATAACCTACAATTCTTAATGAGAAGAACTTTACCAACACTCCCTACAAAAGTACATAGTAAAATGAAACGATGTAATTTCATTTAACCATGTATTTTATAGTTTCCAAAAATGTTTTATAAAGGGTCAAGAATTATGAGGTAAAAAGAAATCCATACCAAAGATATACAGTACTAGTTTTACACACATTCATGAAAATCGTTGTCAAGTACTCCTTATTTAAACATGCACCCAAGACTGAAAATGAAGAACACACACATTCAGAGTAGGATCTGCTGTACAAGAACTTTGTATTGTGTATGGCAGCTTCAACATTCACAATGGCAAGTTATTTTTCCAAAACAATTTGGAAATATTTCCCCCTTTTTTTAACTTCTGCAAAAGAAACACTGTCCTATATAAGACTAAAGTGACCATACATTCTCAATCACATTAATAAATCCACACACAAATATAACAATCTGTACAAAACCTCTAGTTTAATGTATATCAGTAGCCCCTTAATCCATTGTAGACTTTTCCTATGGAATCTTGTTTAAAAATCTTCTTGAGAGCTGAAAAAAAAGAATAATTAAGTTATTAATGAAAGTTGCACACTACAACATACACTACAAATAGTTATCAAAACAATTGACAATTCATGATAGAATTTGTTAATACATAGCCCCCAAATATTTTATGATATTTTCTGTACAAGAATAAGTAAGTTGCAAGCCATTATGACTATATAGCAAGCATACATAGATGCATGGATGGAACTGTAATGATTAAGCTGACAAAATGCTCAGGCTATGAGTTTTGTGGCACTTTCAATCAGCAAGACTCGCCATTGTATAGAAATGTTGCGGGAGAAAAGTTTCCAGTATGTAACCACTAACACCCTTTCTGCAATTCTGGGTGTCTTGCCATCACATGAAATCTTCTATACATTAGAATTTCTAAGTATTCTGCAACCCATAGATATCACACTATTCTTCAAGACTGGAAAATCACAGTGCATATGCCAGCACAATTGCCACTTACTCTTTCAAACTTAAATTTCACACAATCAGTTTAAGCTGCAATACAAAGTTATTCCTTACCTCATACCACTTTTTCCATTAACATGCACACTACTTTCTTCCTTGTCTTTTACCCATCTGTAACTCTTACTCAATTCCACTCATTTCCAATTATCTAAAAAATGAAAGGGAAATTGACAACATGCCCATGTACTCAGCCCTGGGTCCAGGTTTATGGAATTCCACATATATGACAGGATGTAAAGTTCAGTATCAGTAATACAAGTGCTCAGTGTAGTTTGGAGAAAAGTTTGAATACTGGGAAGATAATAGAAGTACTTAAACTGGCAGAGACAGTTCCACTACACAAGAGAACCAAAGCTGCGGCTAAAAGTGGTAGACCAGTTACACTAACATTACACTTTTTTTTTTAAAGTGTGGTCAGGAAGCAAATCTCCAGTTTTATGAAGAACACTGACCATCACAACCAAGGTCAACTTGGATTTAAAGCATGAAGAACATGCAATTTTGCAATTGCTCAATTTGCAATTTTTGCAATATTGTGCATAGATACGGGAAAACCAAATTTATTAAGAAAGCAAACTGAAGATGGTGATATTCAAGTAGATCACAATATCAAGTAGATATTCAAGTAGATCACACTGAAGTATCACATTAAGTGATACTTCAGTGAATAACTGAAGACTACGAACCATCAACCGAGAAAATGTATCCATTGGATTTTTCTTCACTGTAGTGTTACAAAGTACAGTACTACATATCTAAGGCCCACAGCACTACTGCAAACAAGTATACAAAATTAATAATTTAAAACACGAATAAATTAGCTTACCCTCTTTTTCTTCTGCATTAAATTCATTCTTTGGAAATTCCACATCAAATGTAATGTAGAGAATGCCATATAGATTATTATTTTCATAATTTGGCATACCTTCTCCCTTCTTACGAATTCGAGCTCCAGGCCACGTTGGTTTCTCTCGTACAATGTGAACCTAAAATACAATTAAATTAGTGTTTACTAGTACATAGGGAAAGATTAGGAAAATTCAATTCAAACAACCACTTTGAAGGATAATGCCTTCCCCCACTCAAAGAAAGTGGGAAACTAATAATAATGATGATAATAAGTGTTTGCCATCTCAAACTCATCACCCCATCTCCATTAAGGCAGGGAATCATAAGCTTAGAGAAAATCTCAAACTATTTTAACTCAAACATGGCTCTGACAGTTTCACTTCTACAACTAATATTAATGTCACATAAAAAGAATGCATAAGAAAGGGATCAGATGTGTAAAATCAGTATCTGATGTGTGCAAGTTGTGCATTCATATAGCTTTCAGCGGCTGCAGACCGCTGAAAGCAACAGCATTACAGACCAACTTAACACCAGACATGTGTGGCCTCCAGCCGAGTTAGAAGAGTAAAGGAAACTCTTGAAACAGAATACAGATAAAAGGCATGTGGGAATACCCAATGGAAGTAATAAGCTTAAACTAAACTTTATTATTACTCATTAAAAATATTGTGCAATTAATCCTTCTTTTATTTATATTTCCTCTAATATTGAGTAGTTTTGCTCACCATATGATTATCAAGATGTGGAATATTAAGTTCAAATCCTAAAAGAGCCTCTTGAAGGGACAAAGTAACATTCGTGTACAGATCGTCACCTCGACGCTCAAATCTGCAAATAAGCACAATATATAAATTAAAACTAAGTAAGCACAAAGCCTAGTAAATACATTAAATGACTAGTGCAAATCACTACATTACTTTTTTTGATCAAATAAAAAATGGCTTTTACTTAGAAATTAATTTTGTAAAAAAATGTAAGACAGAAGCTGATATTAATCATCCATGGAAGTACTACAGTAGAGGAAAAGGCTTATTATTCTTTTTATCTGTACATTACAAATTACTGCTGCAGAGTCTGAACTGGGCTAATTCTACATGACACTTGTTAGACGTGCCTCACATTAAGCTTTTTTATTTTTTTTTTACGTTGACTTTCCTATGGTCCTCCTTCGGTGTTTTGTCACTTGTTACTTAGCTTAATGTGATGAAAGCTGACCTTAAGCAATAAATATCGTAACTTTTTTTAACAGTTACCCAAACAGGAGTGGTTCTTAAGGCAAAGAATCCAATAAAAAATAAAATACAAACATATGAATACTATTTACATAAAAATTTGTGTATTACTAACTTTTCATGTGGAACTGTCTTAATGCGAATGATAAGATCACCAGGGTCACCATCAATATGAGGTTCACCTTCACCAATAAACCGATGTTCTTGTCCATCTACCATTCCAGGTTCAATTTCAAACTCTAAAGTTCTCTCTTCATTCACTAACCTGGAAAAAATAAACACACGATTACCATAAATAACAAATCTTTTTAACAGTTCCCCCACTTACCACAAAATGTGCTGCTACACATTAATTTAAGAGTATTCCTCAAATATTAACTAAATGCAAACCCTAATAATCCTACAAATAAACTTTTGTATCAGCTAGCTTGAAAAGTGTGGTAAATTTGAAGAGGTTTTTCTTATTATCAGTTAAAGTTGAGTTACCATGATTATCACCAAAATAATTGTTAAAATAGGACATACAGCATACGCTAAAATAATAGTCACGTACTTTACATTTGGGCATTCATCACACACTTGCTGTTGCGTCATTTGAAACCGCCCAGGACCCAACTGTCTAGTAACCATCTCTTGACGACAGTTACACCGGCGTGTGCCCGTTGCTGATCTAGCTACTGGTTTATTACGTACCATCTGAAAAGACCGATACACCAAAATTTACTCTTAACAAGAACAAAATTTACTACAGCACTGAAACCTTTTCCTAAATCAAAATTAGTCTGTTAACCATATCTAAGACATTACTGCTGGACATTTCTGAAATCCTTGACTGCAGCACATACTGAAACATCTTCCTCCTCAGGGTAGAAATGCAGGTAAAATAATGTTTGCTTTTTATTAAATTTATATTAATAAATATTTCCTTTTCCACCTACAGAATACCAATAAAATGCTAATTTCCTTATCACAGTCAAAAAATTTATGAATATACACAGCCCCCACTATTCAAGAAATGGGGAGATGTGAAGCACTGAGCTATTTATTAAATATGCATTCCATGCAAGATTCTAAAACGTGTCATCAGAAGAATTGTAGAACATTTTGGGAGAGTAAATTTTAATCATGCTTAAACTTGATTGAATTCTATGACAAGGTCACTAAAATAAAAGAAAGGATGGGTACATTGCAACATCCTAATCTGCTAAAAAGATTTTGATAGTTCCTCACAAAAAAAATATGCAAGATGGAGAGAAGCAGGGATAACAGGAAAGGCACTGGACTGTGTACAGGAGTACTTGAGGAGAGGAACTTGAGGAAACAATGAGGATATGTCAGGCTGGAGAAGAGTGGAAAGTGGTGTCCTAGGACCATTGTTCATTTTAATTTGATGTAAATGACCCCATTGAGGCCCATAGCTCATACATGTCGATGTTTATAAATGATGCACAGTTAATGAGGGTAAGAACTTAACGCGACTGCAGGGTGCTGCAAGAAGACCATAAACTTCAGGAGTGAGCAGAAAAATGGCTGCTGGAATTCAATCCAAGTAAGTGTTATATAATGAGAAATGACAATGGAGATAGAAGACCTATATTTAACTACACCATAAGGATAAGGCAGTTACAAGTAACAGTAACAGAAAGACCTGGGATTAGACAATCCTAAAACTAACATCAGAAGCTCGCGTGAACAGGATAACATCAACAGCATATGGGAAGTTAGCAAACAAAATGTCATTTAAGAATCTAAACAAGGAGGCTTTCTAAGTCCATACACACTGCCTATGCAAGACACTTATGTGAGAATGCAGCACTAGCATAGAACCAACACCTTGAGAACAGAAACTTGAAGGTCAGAGGTTTGCAATGAGATTAATACCAGAAATGAGAGGGACTATGAGGACAGGTTGAGGGAGCTTACCCTTACATCCTTAGAAGTGAGAAGAAACAGAGGGAATATGCTAAATACTGTACATACAATATTTTTAGAAAATAGGCAAAGTGGACAAAAGAAGCCTATTTAAATTAAAGAGGCAGAACAAGGACATCATCAATGGAAGCTCGACATGCAACCGAGTCGAAGAGATGTAAGGAACTTCTTGTTCCATGTACAGGTGGCCGGCAAGTGGAATGCATTGAAAAAATGAAAATGTTAATGTCTAGAGAAATAATTAAAGAGAAAATGGCATTTCTCACGTCAGGAGAAAACACCATAAAGAACTAGATCTCACTCCTATGTAGTCGCTGATAGGCAAGCACAGCTGAGCAACAGGCCGTAGGTGATGATTCACCTTAGGCAAAAAAGTAAGTGTTCAATGATGTGAAGAGCTATGCAGAAAATAATGAGTCTCAGTTAATGGTAGAACAAACAAATGTGTTGAATAATTATGTTTGAGTTAACCAGGGGCATGTGATGTCCTCATGGTTGTTCAATGTACTGTACACATCGATGGGGTCACAAGGGAAAGTCAATGTAAATACAGTACCATTAGAAAACAAAATGAAACAAGTATTTAAGTGGAGTTTATCAATTCTGATATACTATGCATACATGATGCATTTAATCAAATCATATTTTATCATTAAAAGATACTTTATAATAGAAAGTTAGTATTATCACCACAATCTTGTTACAAAAAACAATCTGATACCTTCCATAGGTTGACCTATTTTAAGCTCATTTACCTCAACAAAGTTCCCAACATACAATTCCTCCAGCGTAACTGCCATTTCCATCGTCACGTCTCCACCCTTGGGCACTTCTCGTTCTCGTGGCTGACCACCACCAAATCCAAAACCAAAATCACCAAAGAAACTGGCAAAGGGGTCCATGCCTCCAAATCCATCTTCTTTGGCAACACATTCTTCACCACATCTAAAGAGCAGAAACAAATCGGTTCCCTCGATTACAATATTTTATCGAGAAACAAATTCAGTTATTGTACATACCATATACAGTATATGATAAATAAAGCATAAGAGTGCATGTTAGGCATGATTACTTAGGCTTTAGGATAGGTAAGATACCCAGAAGAAATGGAAATTTTTCTTGGTATATTACCTATCCATCTTTAGACCTTGTAAGTGGAAAGGATACATTTTAGAACCGTATTTACTGTATAGTATTTGCCACCAAGAGTGGGCCAAAAAAAAAGAGTGCATTTCTGGCCCAGCACCATTATAAATGGTCTTAATATACACAACCACATTTCCCCAACAAAACCATTTGTACTTCACTTTCAATAAATGCATGATTAATGCATACTAAAAAATTTTTTACACAAAATATCCTTGTAAGTACATTTTATGTTGGAAAATACTGTAGTTTCCACTGTAAGCCACTCCTCTCCCTACACTCCTCCAACCCTTTCAACTTTTCTCAACCTCTGGCACTTTCTTGCACAAAATTAAATTTTGCTAACTTCAGACCTGGGGTATTATATTTTAACTGACAGGCTGCATCTAAGACCTTAAGTTTAATTTACATACCTGTCATACTTTTGTCGCTTATCATCATCAACAAGAACCTCATAAGCAGCTCCCAAGTCTTTAAATTTGTCTTCAGCGTTGGGGTCATCTTTGTTCTTGTCCGGGTGATATTCCTTTGCCAACTTACGATACGCTTTTTTTATTTGATTTACATTTGCACTGCGAGGTACTCCAAGGATCTTGTAGAAATCTCTCCTGCAAGAAAAAAATTATAATTGTAAAAAAACAATTTCCCATTAGACACAGTACTATCATTAATATTTATGATGATAAATGTTAAGAAAAATTGTATACAGTAACAGCTTTAGCCCTTCAACAGCCCAATTTGCTGTGAGTGCCACCTGTACTCCAATAGTCAAACAAGATTTTCTTTTACACATTGTGTGAACTATATGCCGTCATTCGCACTAGGATATAATACTTGACCCTTTAATGGCTCACCTATTTAAGCTGAACAAGCCACAATACAATTACTTTGTCGAGGTCTTATCCTTATGTCAACTTAGTGTTATAACTTAACACTACATACAGAATTTAAAATTAGATAGGTGCTTTTTGAAACGTTTGTGACCATGGTCCTCAATTAATGGCCACATGCAAAAATATTGCAATGCTGTTCAATACATACAACGTAATAACCTGTTTTTACCCGAGGGCCACTAACCCTAGTGGCCTTAACGAGGACAGGAAGCCGACTGCTTGTCAAAGGTCCCCCCCCCCCCCCAAGTTGCCTTGATGGTCTTTAGATATATTTTAAAACTTTAAGTTTTAGTTTTACATAAGTAAAGTTTTACATAAGTAAAGTTTTACATAAGCAGAGGCATGTCTGCTTATAACCAATTATTATAAGCATGTGTAACTAAACACACAACAGATTAGGGGGGTTGTATAATAGTAAAATTTACATCAATACTCTTTCCAAGTGTTACTTTGTCTGAAAAATAAATAAAATAACTTTATTCACGGGCTAGAGGTGTGCGAAAGGTGTGTACGAAGTGTTGGAGGCGAGGCTGGAGCGTGGGAATGTGGCCCGCGCTGATTGGTCCCCCACGCCTCTCTCTCTCTCTCCCACATTATCCCACTACTCCCACATTACCCCACTCCCACCACCTTCACCCACAACTACCACACCTCCCTCATGTGTACCACGCGCACACCTGGCCTCACACTTGCCAGGTATGCGGTACACAAATGACAGCCGCCTGTACCGGGAATCAGCTGATCCACAAAAATAACCAGGTGTACTGTCATTTCCAGGGTCTTACTCAATTCTACGAATTGCGGTGATCATTTCATCGCCTTTGTCAATTCCACGCCACGAGAAGTGACTTACCCAGCCTCACAAGCGATGATACAGAGGAGGAGGCCAAAGCCCCAGCTCCAGCGTGGCGTCATCCCAACCGTGTGTCTGCTGCGGCACTGAGGCCTCGCTTCCTTACTACACCACTCCCGACCTCTCCATTCTCACATTATCGTATACCAACACCTTTCTAACTTTATAAATACACACATGAAACAACAGACAAATTCAGGGGAAAAATTGTGTAATCAAAGACATGAGTTTGTTAAGAGGGTAATTAATTAAGTGTTAATGGGAGGATAGGAGGAAGCTTGGTTCCCCCATGCAAGGCGACGGGGCTCAACGCCCGGCTGCCACGTACTCTTATCTTGAGTACCTTCACCCGCACATGTATTCCATTAATAACCTCTAATACAATACTCACTAGACACTTCTCCTCACGATCAATAGGCTATAAATGGTCATTAAAGTATGTGAATACTCTGTACGTAAGCGCTGTTTAATCTCTTTTTAGTGTATAATTAATTTAAAGAGCATTACACATCAATTTAAATGTCTCCTAGTAAAAAATGTTATCTGCTCTGTTTCTAGCTGGAATTCGTTTATTTTTAGTTCATCAATTACGCACCTCCATCCTGTACGAGGGGTTGGGTTGTGGGAAGGTGCACACATGCACATATATACAATTACATGCGCATATATACAATTACATGGGCCATCCCCATACACATATATACAATTACATGGGCTTGACAATCCCCATTTAATATATTAATTTAGCTACAAATAAGATAATTAAAACAAAACGATAATGAAATACATTACAGAGTATGTTAACATATGTAAAAAGTCTATTTACAGTTGCCGTTTGTTTAGTATAATTAGTTTATTTAATCATTTTCATACCACGAAAAGAAGACAATTCGCAGTATTTAATAATAATATCAATTAGTAAATGATGCGAATTTTCCTCGTTTCACGGAATGCTTGCCACGAAGGCAAGTTGTTTTGCCCAAACGTTTATTTTTCAGTCTAAATAGATTGAAATTGAAATTGAAATAAGTTTATTGAGGTAAAATACACACAAAGGGATGAGGTAGCTCAAGCTATTCTCACCCCGTTCAGTACATCGTGTTAATACATACATAGACAGACATCACAAACAATAAACACACTGTATTACCAAACATTCTGAGAGATAAACATATACAGTTCCTCCTTTACACAAGTAGTATGGTATCAGACATACACACAAATACTTTTATGACCTAGGTATACTGTATAGACAGTCTAAATAGATTATTGTGCATCCCATACATTTGTTGCGGACTAATTTACAAATAATTATAATTTTCCTCAGTTTGTGATCAGTTTATCTAGGTAGTGACCTTATATAATTACCAATTATTTACAATATTGTATAGTTAACGTTACGGAACATAATCATAAGATAAGGAAGAAAGAGATTAACAGGCAGTATAAAAGTTTACAGCGCAGTCTACAATAAGCAAACTTGGAATACTTGGCTAAGGTTTTGGCCAATATATCATCCTAGATAAAATATATGGACATTTCCTAAACATTATAGTAATGTTCAAGAAATATCGACCCATGTATTTTATTTGGAATGACATATTACCTTAAATCCTAGCCAAGTAAAGGAATTATTAATTATTGTATAAGGAATATCGCAATAAAAGTAAGAATTCGAAAATCGTTCTACTGAGCAACCTTATTAAACTAATAATTGTGTGCTGATTTTTTCTGTGCGAATAATCAATTTCTTTGCTTATATTTTGCAAGTAAGTACAGTTACAACCATGCATATTTATTATGTACATTATTGTATTATAGCACATTTATTAATTATGTACTATATTGGGCCTAAGCTATCCCACCACAATTTTTGTTGTATTTATCCTAAAATTTTTAAGCAATGAGGACTAAAGTCTTTTTCTTAGGGGATTAGGAGGACCCCTCAAGCTTATGCTTCATTAGTTTCATAATAAACCAGCCCCTGCCTCCTGCTAGTATTGTGAACAGTTATTTCCGTGGGCGAGGATAATTTCTATATCCATGAACGATTTCCAATCATCCCATTTCGTCTAAAATGTTTAAAAACTTAAAAAAAAAAGCCAAAACATGATAAACTATTTCACAGTCTTGGAATTTTCGTCCCTTTCTTATTTGTTTGAGAAGGGTGGGATGACACACTTAGCTTTTTCTTCATTCCATCTGTGCACAGCATGTGGGGGATATACCTAGTGAATTAGTTTTTCTGAAGCTAATGCCAACCTATTACCTGCTGTAATTAGAATTTTTTGTGTATGTTAACATTCTCTGTAATAAAATTCATCGATGCTCAGTTTGTATTAGCTTGTTTATAGCTAAAATAATATATTAGTGCCTGCAGATTTGGTCGAGTCCATTATATGTGCATGATATTTATTTATTTATTTATTTATATACAAGAAGGTATTTGTCAAAAAATGTTTACAGGTACATTGCAAGAAATTTTGACACAAAGCAACATATATAATTTTATTTCATTTATGTTTTTTATACATTTATTTCCACTCATTTGGCCGTCGTCAATAGGCCTACCAAGCGTAACAATGGAATTTTGCTGTTCCTGAAATATGAACGACCAGGTCGGATATATTGTACCACAGCAGTAATCACTTACATATATCACCAGTGTTATACTGTGTTGTATGTAACACTAGATGGAGTACCCGGCTGTGTCCGGGTCTTTCATCCCTCTTCCCCTCTCTCTAATCTCCCACTTTTTCAAATCTTCCCTTATCCCCTCTCCTCCCCACTCCCCAACATCCCTCCTCTCCTACCTCTTCTTCCCCCCTCCCCCTCCGACTCCTCTCTCTCTCATCACTTCCCACTCTCCTCCCCTCTCCCACTTTCTCTCTTCTGTCTTTCAGCTTCTCTCTTCCCATCTCCCATAATACACCCCCTCCCCTAGTCTCCTCTTAAGCAAATTTAATACTGTATTACCTATTTCCTTAGAGGAAATGTCAAAAGAGTTATAATAACTTACACATAAGAAATAAAGAAGAGGAGAAATAGAGATCTACAACATATACGAAAATAATGAATTTAATAAATAGTAGAGATATAAAATATGAAACAAAAGATAAAAATAACAAGTAGAGACAATGATAGTATGTAAAAGCAGAATAAGCAAAAAAAAAAAATAACATGAAAAGGTTGCATAGGCTATAGAAAAAATAAGCAGAAGAATGTTAAATTTAAGAATACTGAACATTGTAACATAGATACATGTAAATACTGAACAGAGAAGTAACTGTTCTGCAGTCACCTTTGTTCTTATGTTCTTACGAACAAAAGAACTGAAGTAAAAATAATGCCAAAAAACACAAACTGAGTGTAACAGATGGAAAGTTCTCAGGCCTACAGAGAAAACAAATAGAATATCCACATTAATATATTAATGTAAAAAAAAGCCTAATTTATAAAATCAGTAACTGTGTAGTTTCTCTGCTCTCTGGTATATTATTCATTGTTCGTTCTGAAAGTAAGTAATTATCAAAAGAAGGCACCAAGCCGGGAAGGCTATGTAGCACCAGTGCGTTCTGAAAACATTACGTTATTCTGCGAACTGATAATACGAGGGGAGAAGTAACGGAGGTACCGAGGGGAAGGATGGGGCAGAGAAGTAACGGGGAAAGGAGAAGTAACGGGGAAAGAAGTAACGGGGAAAGGAGAAGTAACGGGAAAAGGAGAAGTAACGGGGAGGGGAGAAGTAGGGGAGGGGAGAAGTAACGGAGGTACCGGGGGAAGGATATGGGGCAGAGAAGTAACGGGGAGGGGAGAAGTAACGAGGAAAGGAGAAGTAACAGGGAAAGGAGAAGTAACGGGGAGGGGAGAAGTAACGGAGGTACTGGGGAAGGGAATTATCATGGGGAAGCGCCAATCCATTGCGATTATATAACACTGGGAAGGGGTCAGGATAAGGATTTGGAATGGGACGGGAGAAAGAAATGGCGCCCAACCACTTAGACGGTCGAGGATTGAACGCCGACCTACATGAAACGAGACCGTCGCTCTACCGTCCAGCTTAAGTGGTTGGGCGACGGGGGAGGGGGGGGGGGCATCGAAGTAGGGAAGGTTCTGGGAGGGGAGAAGTAACGGAGGGCAGATGTGTGAGGGAGAGACCGGAAGGGACGGTGGGGGAGGGCTGACACAGGTGGGAGACCACCGCTACAGGGTACAAAATTCCAGCAGGTCACCAGGGATCTTAACACAGATACCCAAAACTCCAGATTATTACCCCTAATAACTTACATTTCTCAATGTATATTTATTTCGCCACTGACATAATTTACCCGTTGCAACTTCAATTGAGGAAAATATATATATATAGCTTTTATCACTGATATTCTTGAAGGCGGAAGCAGTGATCATCGTACATCTGGGAGGTTGGTGTCTCAAGAGTTCCTGAGCAGTGTAGGCCAAGACGCCTCCTCTACAGGTGCTCCTTAGCTATCCTGCTCTCCAGGTCTTTACTAGGCCCTAGGGCCGTCGGAGCGAGTGATTACACAGTGGATAAGCTATCACCAAGTGCTTAGAATGTTCGATTAAGTGGAAGGAATGTGAAGGAAGTGCGTGTGATCAAATTATGTGCTGTTCAAGAAGTCGTGGTCCGCAAGAGCCCTCGTCACCTTTCTCCAGCAGCTGATTCATACAGGTAAGACCTCAACTTGTCTCATTTCCCTGCTGAGGCTTCGGCATAGGAACGAGAACGACTCATAACCTAAGCTTTACTGTCCTTCAAGGAAAACATTACATGTTATCAATGATCAAAGCATATAGCCTACCAGGATGCTGAAATACAGGTAGATTCCAGGCACACAAACGCCATAATTAGCGATGGATACAGCATTATAAACCCAGCACCACGGGCTGCTTGGCTGTGCTGCGAGCCGTAGAGATAAGAGAGAGACTACTGTGTTAAGGAGAGGAGTATACATGGAGGAGAGACCAGCTGGGGTGTATGAAGGCTGGCTGGGGCAGCCACACCCTGCCGTGCTGGGCAGGCAACACTCCATCCTTAATGACATTTAATTTAATTACTGAAAGAAGTTTTTAGTTCAGTAACAGAATAATATTTGTATGTATATATATATATATGTATGTGTGTGTATATATGTTTGTATGAGTATATATGTATGTGTGTGTATATATGTATGTTTGTATTTACTATTTTTTGTGTGTATATGTGTGGGTGTATGTGTGTGTGGGCCCAAGTCAAGCGGTAAACGTAGCCTAAGATTATATTGACAAGAGATGTCGCTGGATAACTATCTATGGAAGTGTTGAACTCCATTACTTCACATTCCTCGAATATACATCTTGTGTTGATTTATTCTACCGTGAAAACATGTTAGTTAGTCAAAAGTACAAACAAATAAATATAATATATCAGTTTGAACCTTTTTTTTAATTAATTGCCTAATTTAAAGATAAGACAGCTTGAGTGACAGCATCTTCACATCCAGACTTTGTACAAATTCGAATTGAAATGTGTTTATTATGTATACATCATGGAATTGTTATTTAGATTTATTAATTTAGTGATTAATTACTGTTGAGGCTATTGCTTACTCAGGTGTTTTGAAGTGCCAGTCGCAAATTATTTGATATATTTTGCTTGCTTAGTAACTGCGTTCAATCGTTTGTATTTTAATTCCGGTTATCGGGGACAGGAAGCCTGTACTTTGGCTTATCAAGGTCGCACTAGGCTCACTACTGACCTTCCCCAGGTTGCAAAAACACAACAGTTGCTCCATTCCTAAAGGAGCAACGGTACTTAATACGCTGCTTTATGAACACATGTATCAGGTAAAAAGGAACGTGCCCAACCGTATCTGTCACACCAGAAACAGTTGGGCACGTTTAAGAAACCGGATTGAACCCAGGTACTTCGGGTGTGAGCCGAGGAGGTATAGACCCCGCGCTACAGAACCCAGGTTAACTGCCAGAGTTAAGCATATATCTTGAAGAGATGGCTGAAGTATTTTTAGGATCAATGTTTTGTTTAGATCACTGATCGCGTTAGATTTAATGATATGATTACGATCAAAACAATTATTTAATTATATATATAAATAAAATCGTTATGTTCTGTGCTGCTGGCTGGATCCTGATGCATTACGATTGCTTACAGTTAGTTGGTATATATTTGGCCGTGAGATTACCTTGGTGAGTGACCAAGTAACGGAACACTGGACCATGGGACACTACCCGGCTGTCTGCCAGCCCCAGCACTTCCCTCCATTGCTCTAATCAACCAGGGATGATATTACTTATTTTAATATAATTTAAAAAAATACAAGACAATGAAAACAATAGGTTATTTCCCTGCACCTCTGTAATCAAGTTAAAGTATGTTTATTGAGACAAGAAAGAAATACATCTCAAAGGGATAGAGTAGCTTTGGCTGTTTCTACCCCCCCCCCAACCTCTGTAATATTGTATTATCTCTAATATTGCTTCTCATACACCGGTATTATATTTCCATCATTAAATCATAAACATAACAATGCCCTTAAGGTATATTACACTAATAGCAGAAGTAATATATATATATATATATATATATATATATATATATATATATATATGTTCATGAATTAAATGCACCTGCGTGCATAAAAATAATAAATATTATTGCAATAACAGAAACATGGATATATGTAGATAACGGAAATCTATTAGCTATCAAATTAAGGAATACAAATTGTTTAACATTGATAGGCAAATTAAATGATGAAGAGTAGCACTGTATGCCAGAGAAAACTTAAAATGTTGTGTAAAACGTTGCTTAGTAATCACAATGTAGCTTAGTAATCACAATGTAGCTTGTTGTTGTTAAAGATTCGCTACCTGGAACAAAAAGTTCCAAGTAACACGGGCTATGGTGAGCCCGTAGTGCCTTAATGTAGCTTAGTAATCACAATGTAGCTTAGTAATCACAATGTAGCTTAGTAATCACAATGTAGCTTAGTAATCACACTCACAATGTAACCAAATACAAAAATAGTCTGGATAAAATTAGAACTCTTATTTGAAGACAGATTAGGAGGGCTTAATTGGATTTTTTTGGGGGGAAGGGCAGGACAAAAGACATGTTTGAGGCGTGCATTTGGATGAAGGGATGTAGGATGTTGATGGTGCTCTAAATATGTCTACACAGGGTGGAGCACAAGACAGTGGATGCAAACAGGTGGCAAGTCTGGGGTTCAGAGGAGACCTTGGTAGGTGCAGGTTTGGGAACGGGGCTGGTAATTTTGGGAAACAAGTTACCGGGTGATATAATGAAAGAGAGAGAGCTGGACGGTTCCGGGGGTGGGTTGCACAGCTCATTCTGACGTGTAAATCCCCAGCGGCCAAAATATGATCTATAAATCATCAGTCCTTTCACACAAGCGTTCCCAACATCAGGAAACTGTCGTACTGTACTAAAGTGCCTTATCCTATCCTACCAGAGGACCCACGGACAGAAAACGGGATATTATGTCAATTTTGCGAGCCGCAACCATTTTCAAGTAAGACAATTTTTGGCCTTAGGTAAAATATACGTCATAAATGCGAGGTGCTATTAGGAGGACGGGTTAGAATCATAGCGGCTCGCAAAATTGATAGGCTCTTACGTTTTCTATTCGTGGGTCATCTGTTAGGTTATCTTCGGGCAATTTTTGTACATCATTTTTGTGACGTTGTGACAACTCGAGAGGACGGTCTAGGAAATGAGCAGACTCTCGTGTGAAAATGCTGGTCCTTACAACACCTATTGGTCGAACGACCACTAATTAATCTTGGTCACCTTGCCTTTACCTTACCCATATCGAGGTCGGGATAATATGAGCATTATCTAATTCAATGGTTCCCGATCCTCATGTGTGTGTGTGTGTGTGTGTATGTGTGTGTGTGTGTGTGTGTGTGTGTGTGTGTGTGTGTGTGTGTGTGTGGATCTGGGTCAGGCTGTGAGATGCTGGAGGTCGACCACTCCTGCCCAAGCTGGCCAACCACCACACTGTTGCCAAGCCATATTTTGTTTCTCTTCTCCCAACCTACATAATTTTCCCCTCATTCCTTCTCCTCGTCCCGCCCCTCCCCGTCAATGATTGGTGGGTGGGGCATCTTGGCCTCATAAACACTTCCTCACACGGACACACATAATAGGAATTTAATATTTTTATTGATCGTGATTACCTATTTTGGTGTAATAAATACTGAACTTCAACCCGTTTTCGATTCACCACTCTAAAAATGCAACTGTTTTGCCTTTCCAGAAACATACGAACCCAATCAACCCTACTAACCTATCTAGGCGATGCATAGAAAACGTCAGTATTATGGTGTTATAATTGTCACAAATACGCCGCATTTTAATGGATTGGTCGATTTCGTCAAAACAGTGCGAGATATTAGGGAAAGGACGCAGCAAGAGCCAGAGCAGGCACAGGAGCCGCTTCTATATAAATACATATATATTTTTACAGGCGCCAAAGATTCCGAAAGAAACACAGACGAACGGCCAACCCAAGTCAATAGGAACAGAGACAGTGTAGTAAAAAGTAACATTTGAGTGAGAAACGTGTATTGTTCTTGAACTACTCAGTTGACTTCCATTACTTGATGAATTATTGAAGAGGTTACAGGGCTTCCACCTGTCTCCTAGACCAGCCGACGCCAGGAGAACCCACAGAAGGGCTTCCACCTGCTTCCCAGACCAGCAGACGCCAGGAGAACACAGAGAAGGGCTTCCACCTGCCTCCCAGACCAGCCGACGCCAGGAGAACACACAGAAGGGCTTCCACCTGCCCCCCAGACCAGCCGACGCCCGGAGAACCAATAGAAGGGCTTCCACCTTCCTCCCAGACCAGCCGACGCCAGGAGAACGCACAGAAGGGGTTCCATCTGCCATCTAGACCAGTAAAGACAGGAGACCCGAATGCAAGGTTTCCACGCACCTAGTTCCAATACCAACTGTTGATAAAAATAAAACAAAGCTTGTCTCCATGATATATAGGACTTCGACCTGTTTCCATCTGCAACATAGACAGCCGAGGATCGAACACTCGCGTGCCCAATAGTATAGAGCTTGCACCTTGACCAGCCGAGGACGATTACCCGATGATACTGTTCCATCCGAGAACGGGAAAAGAATTGCTTAAAGAAAACGGTGACGCTACCATTTGCTTCCTAGACAAATTGAGGACAGGAGAAAGTATTGCAGTGCTTTCAAAGACTACCGACACTAATTGATGATACTAGGCAAACCATATTTTTTACCAAGTGTAGACTTTCTAGCTCTCTCCTAGAATAGATCAACCATATGCAAGGACAGGCGAACCATTTCTTGCTCCAAGGTAAAGCTTCCTCTTGCTCCTGGACCAGCTCAAGGGCAGGTGACTCATCGCTTGCTCCATGTTAAGGCTTTCATCTGCCTCCTGGACCAGCTGAGAACAGAAGAACCATGATGACCAAACCACACATCAACAAACGAAAAAATTACTTTTCGGTCTGTCCTTGACCATTATCAAGCCCCCATGGTAGGGCTTCCGTCCGCCTCCCAAACCCTTCAATGACAGGGGATCCATGGTTTGTCCCAAGGTGTAGGACCTCCGCCTGCCAGTTAGGCAAGTCGAGTATAAATATATAAAAGGACCAACATATGGAGTA